AACAATAATCAAGTATTGTTGTTTTGCAGTAAGAACACTTTATAAGCACATAATGCTGGTGGAGGTTTTACACTGCTTGCTCTCGTGTAATAGCACTGACTTCAATGGACTATTCATGCTAGAGATGTGGAAACTGATCAGTAATAATACAGAAGTCTAAATATTTAGATATGCTTATATTACTTCACTTATCCCAGTGGAAGAGGGGACAGAGAGAGAGAGAGAGAGAGAGAGAGAGATACAATGTAACATGTTGACAGTTTTCAGTGACATTTCTTGAGGATATACATGTCAACTTTCTGTAAAGCAGAATACACGTGTGCCTTAACCCACGCAATTCTACATCCACATTAATCCAGTGTTAATTAATTATAAGTGTAATTTTTACTCTGCTGCATTGTTCTTCACATTTAGCTGGCTGATAGATACACACACACCTTGTTATGCTGCTCCTTGCAAACCAGCAGTAAGTACTTTACTTCCTGTGAACAGGTATGTCCCAACTGTGCTCTTTTCTGGAAGGTGATGCTACAGCAATGTCATGCTTCCATGAGTACAAGGTGCCACCCTGTGAAATATATCCAAGATTAATTATAGAAGCTAAAGAGCCCAATGCTTTCATCACTTCCTGGGAAGCTTTGATAACCAACTTGCCATCTCATGTCAACTGAATAGCGTTTTCAGAAAGAAGAATCTGATTTTATTTTGCATGCATATCTCAATACAAAGTACAGACTTAACTTCTTTGAAGTTCTTCTTCAAAGTATCTTCAAGGGTGGGCCTCTGGTTGGTAAGGAGTTATACATGTAAATAAAATCAGATTCAATTAACTCTTTAATTTGCTGCTTTAAGAATAACTTTGTTGCTATTAAAACACTGTTACCCTTGGAGTACTTCAGTCAACAAGTATATACAAATGCTACCACTGTAATGCTTAGTGGAGTTGTCAGAAAAAAAGCCTTATAAAGGAACAAAAAAGCCTTCTCTGGACTGTGAATCATTACCATAATACAAAATTATACATAAGCTCAGATAAATGGAGATAATCCAAACCACGCTTTTTTCTCCCTCCTAGTGAATGTATGATACCCTTATTTGATTCAAGGCAACAGTGTTATCTGCAATAGGATTTGTAATATCAAATAACGACCATGCTACCTTTGATTATTTGATACTTGCTATTATCTTTTATAAGAAATTAATTATTCATTATAAAATTACTTTCACTATGAAAACAAATTATGCTTTTCCAATTATTTGGCCTTGTAGGCTCTGCTAAATCAGATACAGAACTAGCAGAGACACCTTAGTAATAATTCTAATGTGATATAATGTGCAGTGATAAGAAAGGCACTTGGAGCAAAGCATTACCTGCATGTTAAAATTAATTGCATGCCTTTTCTGGGGTACTTGATCCCTCCTACTGATAGACTAAACTGAAGCAGGGTTAACTGTAGAATCCAACTGCTTTCTGAATATAAAAGTAATTTTATTTTAAAATTGCTTAGCAATGGAAAGATTTCCCCTTTATTTAAAAGCAGGCCATCAGACATTTAAAATGCTTTGCTAGAAACAAAGAACACCCAGTCACCTTCCATCCAAACTGTCAAACCTCTTTGCTTTACTCTGCATGCACAGAACACCTTTAATCACAGGGGGGAAAACAAACCCCACGTCTATATATCAACTGCAAGGTGGGTACATTTTCTCGATCATACAGCATGTGAGAATTCAGCTGAATGAACACAAACATTTCCAAAGTTACCCTGCAGAAACAGCACTTATTTCATACAAATCTCCCAAATATCTACACAATTTTGTCTGTAAGTCTTGCTTTTTTCTCTTTTTGTAGTCTCCCATATATATATATATATGTATACACATATATGTATACGTGTAAATGAGGATTCTCCTTGGGCAGGTCTGTGGCTGGGAATTTGTGTCTGGCTTACAGCCTGTGTGAATTTTGCTAGCTCTTGTTTCCCTGTAATTCATGCCAAACTTGATATCAGAAGCCATTTGTATTAAAGAATGAACTGTTTTCGCTTCTCTACCTGTCCCTTAAGTCTTATTGTTTAATGCATCTCCAGTGTTACAGATTAGAGATTAATTTCTTTCTTCTCAGTTTCTTACATGCAAACACCCTTAGGCTGGTTATTCCCACAGGTGAGCTGTCAGTATGCCACTGGTCTATCACAGATCTCTTTCAACAACACTGGTCTTAATTCATTAGAACTGATCCAGCTCCTCAGACCCTAACTATGTCCTGTTGCAAGGAATTACTTTCACTGTAGTGATCTTCAGTGAACATGCCGTCCCTGTCCTTCACCTTAGAGTCATTTCAAGTGCAATCTCACTTTGACAGCACCCATTCTTGGACTCAAAGTGGCCATTGAGTCTCACAGCTAAAACATGCCATGCAAGTCTTGATGAGGTACTGCCATCTAATAGCCCCTCAGGTCTAATTCAAGATCCATAAGAAGGTTCAGGATCAGAGCACAACTGGAGAATCATTCTCTTGGTATCATATAAGGTCTAGACAGAGATAGGCACGCATCCTAACTGCACACCTCTTAAGCCATGAGATAGCTTCATATTGAGACATATACTTACAAGCACCAGTAAAGTTTTGGTTGATGTTCCACTGTGGGTAATGCAGATTACACCCCCTTTGTAGCTGTGTGAATAATGTCTAAGAGTCTTCATCAGAAAACATACAGTTATGAACAATACACTTCTAAAGTAAAACCCAAGACCTCGTTGTAGGTGGAAGAAATTCAAGTTGACAAGTTGTAGAGATGGCTGATAAATTCATCTCTCTAGGCAGCAAACTACTGTCACATAGGGAAAACCAGCTTAGGCTACCAGCCATAGCTAGGAAACATGTGCCGAGCATTCAAGTCCACAAAGCCATCAATGACAGGGAGCACTGAGGAGGCAAGTGATGACCAGAAACGCAATAGCGACGGCACCAGGAAATGGACTTGGCGGGGCTGAACTCGTTAATCACTAAGGCTACGGTAGGCACACCCTGCTAATAACATTGCCTGCCTTGAAAATTAAGTTCCTGCAAGCCAACGACTCAGGACTTGGAATCCAGGTCGGAAGTGACAGAGAGAGCTGCATCCAGCTAAACGTGGCAGCAGGGCTCCCCGTTTAACCAAGGCCGGTGGCCGTGCCGGGCAGATCCGTCGCGGAGCGCTCGGGAGCTGGGTAAGGAGCGGCAGCCGGGAGCTGCGGGGCGCGGGGTGCGCTGCCCCCTGCGGGCGGGGACCGGCACTGCCGGGGGCACTGCGGGGACACCGGCACGGCCCCGACCGCCGCGGGGGGACCGTCCCTCTGCCCGCCGCTCACAGCGTCCACCTCCCGGAGCTGCGGGGTCACAGAACCAGTTAGGTTGGGGAAGGCCTCTGAGATCGTCGAGTCCAACCTGCGGCTCAACACACCGCCTTGTCAGCTAGGCCATGGCACTGAGGGCCGCGTCCAGGGTCCGTGACTCCACTACCTCCCTGGGCAGCCCGTCCCACTATCTAATCACCCTTTCGGTGAAGAAATTCTTCCTGATGACCAACCTAAACCTCCCTTGGCGCACGGTCATCCCCCAGGTCCTCTCGTCACCTTGAACTTGCTGTTCCACCAGTGGCATTTCTAGCCCATATCGCTCCATCCAAGGACTGAGCGCTTCCAGCATGTCCTCTCAGAGAGAATTCCTATTGCTGACCCCATGTGAAGGTTCAAACGCCTCACACCGTCTGAGGATAATTTGCTGGAGGGCTCTTGTTGCCACCTGTACAAGCACAGTTCAATTGGCTGTAAACTTGTGCTAAGGAACACAGGTAATGAAGGCTACAAATGAGTCAGCTCCCCGATTAGGGCTCCGTGAGGTCCAATGCACGAAGTTCCACAACATGGGGAAGAACTTGCTTGCACTGAGGGTGGCAGAGCACTGGAACAGGCTGCCCAGGGAGGTCGTGGAGTCTCCCTCTCCGGAGACATTCCAAACCCACATGGACACGTTCCCGGGACCCCTGCTCTAGGCGACCCTGCCTTGGCAGGGGGCTTGGGCTGGATGATCCCCAGAGGTACCTTCCAACACCAACAATTCTGTCTTGTTATTTTCTGTACATGTAAGACACTCGTTTGAGGCACTCAGTGCTTAGGGCAGTTAATGGTCTTAAAAAGCAACAGCAAGTGAGACGTTTTTAGTACGGACTGGGTCGAGGCCGGTAACTACAGGCAGGAGATCGCGCAAGCAGAGGCAGGAGAGCACGGTGCCAGCTGGGAAAAGGTCCAGGAGGTGGCAGTGCGGGAGTTTCCCCGCGTGTTTCAGATCGGACATTTCGGCAGACACCCCGGGCCCTGAGGGCGCGGGGGCGGCGCGGGGGATCTGGGAGCTGTAGTTCCCGCGCCCCGCCCGCCGGGGGGCGGAGCTCCCACAATGCACCTCGCTCGGCTGTCACGTGACCCCCGCGCGCCGGGCAGGGCTCCGCTTCCGTGGGTGATCGCGCGCGCCTCGGGGGGCGGGGCCTCCCTTCAGGTAGGGGCGGGGCCGGCCGGGGGCGGGGCCTCCTTGGGGTTGGGGTGGGGCGTGTGAGGGGGGAGGTCCGTCCGCTTCCTCCTGCTCCCGGGACCGCGGCCGCAGTCCCGAGGCTCCGCGGTAATAAACCCACAGCGGGCGGGGCTGTCATCTCCCCGGGAGGTGGGTGTCGCAGGCGCTTCCCCGGCGAGGAGGTGGCGAGGGAGCGCCCGGTGACAGCGCCCGGTGACAGCCCCTCCCATGGGTAGCCCGGCACCGGCAATAACAGCCGTGTGACAGCGGCAGCTCAGCGCCGGCAGCTCGGCCAGGGCACTGCCGCTCCCCCTGGAGGAGGTTCTTCGTCGCCATCGCTCCTCGGTGCTTTCGTTGTCGTGGGCTCGGCAGACACGGTGTTCTCCAGCAGCAGTCCACGGGACACAAAGCTTGGGATCACGTGGAAGGTACCTGTCGGCTGAAGGCTGGAGCAGAAGATTTTAATTACTGCAGGCCTGGGCAGCTTCTCCTGAAAACTGGATTCTCGTGTTCTCAGGAACAAGGGACTGCTCATCTCGGAGGGCTGTATTTCCGTGAGCTGCTTTCCCCCTTGCTTTTATTGTAAACGCCAGTTTTAATGGATGTTTTTTTACTTTCTTCTCTTCCCTGTGAAGGACAAGATACTAGTCTACATGCACTAAACTGGAAGAAATGGAAGAAAGGAAGATCAAGAGGAGGAGCCCCAAATCATCTACCAGTCACCCTGCTCAGGTTGCTAACTCCAAGAAGAGCTCAGTGCCAGTCAGTAAGAGTACAGCCTTTTCCAACCCTGCCCCACAGCCTGCTGTGCAGAAACCAAAGCTGAAACGGTAAGCTTGGGGGCATCTTGCAAGCTCAGAGCAAGTGAGAGCCAGAGACTCATCATTGCTCAAGGATGTTTACACTGGCTGTGACAGTCTTGTGAACGTTTTTGATGACATACCTTTTTTTTACCAGTGATTTGTGTTTAATGCAGTATAATGGTTATTTTACAGAAAAGGAAGGTGCTCTCTATTCTTCTTGTAAGCTTTAAAAAGTGTAACACGATGCTGTAGACTCATAACAATTCACCTGAAGCAGAGGACTGGTGAAAGACAGAGCTGGGCACCAGATAGCAGAGCCCAAGATGCACAGCTGTGAGGAACAAATACAGTACATGACTGCAAGGCTGGAACTGACAAGTATGGCAGGAAATGAAGGACATAAATTGAACAGGATGAGCTAGAACTGAAATTTCTTGGTGGTTTTTGATTGGGGACCTCTCAGCTGGGACAGCGTCTTGCATAAGGAGAGACATTTAGTTCTTCAGAAAGTACCACGTCAGAGTAGTTTGTGTTTTATTGATATCATATCCATTTCAGTTTGAGAACATCAGTTTTTGTGCATGTTACAAAATATGCTGTGGCTTGGCTGTGGCTGACACATCAGATAAATAAGCGAAGAGGGATTTTAAAGTGAAATGTCTGCTAGAGGGAAGCAGCAGAGTTCACTGACCTCTTAAGTATTAGCTGAAGATTAAATACAGAACTGCCATCACTAGCACAGAAACTCTGAAGGAACCAGTATTGGCCTGATGAATAATGAATTTCTGTAAAGTAAAGGCTATACATTATTTTTCAGGAAAAACGTGTCAGCATTTCGAGGCAAATATTAGTAAATACTAATGTGTCATAAGTTGGTGGTTTCTTCAGCTGACTGTACAGTCTCAACATTATTCTGGAATGTACTAGAAATTATTTTCTTGCAGTCCACAAGATTATCTAGAGAAAAAAAATGTCCTTTCTGCTTTAAATTCTGGACATTTTTGTGCAATTGTTAAGCTTACCAAGCGGTGCTAATACACTTTCTTGAACTTTCCAAGCAGGAGTGGTAATTGACATAACAGTGTGAGGATTAACTGCTGTTGTGATAGTGGAGGAGAAGTACTTATTTAACTTTCATTTAATCTACAAGAATCTAAGTAACTTTTCTGGGAGCAATAATACATTTTATTAAAGAGCAGAAGCAGGTGAAAGAAATGAATGACCTTTCTGTCATGCAAACTTTTAAGTCTGAAATTGAAGCAGAACTAGCTAGAGTTAAACCTGAATTGAGACATGCTGCTCTTGAGTTGAACCAGATACCATTGTTGGACTGCTGATTGTTTCAGCATATAGACTATGGGCACATGGTGCTCTGAATAAATGGTATGTCTAGAGAAAAGTGTTTGAGATCCAGGAATTTTGATGTTTTCTTGCAGGAAAGGCTGTAGAGAATTTTTAGCTCATCCGATGTTTGTTGCAGTCTATAGGTGTTTGGAACAACAGAAGTGTATGATTTTTGAGGGGTTTCTCTCTGGCTTAGAGTATGCAACAGCTTTTTGAGTGATTTTATGTAGATAATGGCTGCCTGGGTAACTGGTGGAATCAACATTCCTGGAGAGTGTTCAAAAAACATGTGGATGTGGCACCTGGGGACTTGGTTTAGAAGTCAACATGGCAGTGCTGGGTTTATGGTTGGTCTCTATGATTTTAGAGGTCTTTTCCAGCTTTTACAGCTCTGTGATATTGATGATACCCATGTGTCACTGCTGAGTAACGATGGTCCACTTTGGATTATTAAGATGACCATCACAGACATGTGGTCCACTGATGCTTCCTACCACTAGCAGGAAAGCAGATTGTTGGAATCTTTCATTTTGCAGTATCAAACTGTTAAGAGAGCAATGTCCTTTATTTTTAAGACAAGCTGGTGGTGATGCAGTTTTTATCTTAAAAGGAGTGATTATGTATTATGTATTTCCCATTTCGTTTCCAAAGCCTGAAAATGAAACTTTTCTTACATTGCAGATTCACAGTGAAAGTGAAAGCAGGAAGTAATATTGGGTTTGTTTATTTTTTTTTTCCAGTGTAATAAAAGAGAAAGCCAAACCTCCAGGAGGTGAAGCAAAAGGGGCGCAGGCAGCACCAATCCAGCATTCTTTTCTCACAGATGTATCAGATGTCCAGGAAATGGAAAGGGGACTCCTGAGTCTCTTGAATGACTTCCACTCTGGCAAACTTCAAGCATTTGGTAAGTGCATGAATTGAGTGTGTACAGTAGTTGGTTTTTATGGCTGTACAGTAGTAACATTTGCTAACAAGTGCACTGCATGGACAGACTTGAACTGCATGGCTAGTTTGTCAGCTGGACTCTGCCATCTGAAATTAGGTTTAACATAATTAATACATCTTACTGCATTTTTAAATTACAGTCCCATTTTAAGGTTGTGCTTGTTTTGAGATTATTCATATGCCATTTCATTGTTCCTTCTAGCATGGAAGCACCTTGGCTTATTTTAATTTAAGATACCAAGTCTAAAGTCACTTATTTATGACAGTGTAGGAAAAAGTAACTGTATTTAGCACCTGGTTTTGCTGCATATTAACACTTTTGGCTATTGGTAACAACTTTTATGAAATCCATTGCAAGCTGCATTTTATCCAGCTTATTCTGCTGTCTTAGTTTCTTACTATTCTTACTGCCTCACAGTTGATGGACGTTTCAGAAAAACCATCACACATTTTTGCTTCTTTTTTCCCTTGCACTAAGTAGAAAGATGCAAACGTGCTTTTGCAAGTTTAGTGTTAGGTCAGTGTGTCATGTTAATTCCACACTGATTTTATAAGGGAACCTGAGAAGTCTGTATTATGTAAAGTACCAGTTAGAAGAAAGAAACCCCCAGATTAATCAAAATTAGAAGTTCTGTTGTGACCATATTTAAAGCTAAAAACCATGGCTTTTCTAAGTCAGACTAAAATTCAGGAGTATAGAAAACCTCTTAGGAGTTATTTTCAGTTATTTTCAGTTCAGCACAACATAACATCAAACAGGATGACAGAAACTTCAGTAGTGGAACAGTGAGAAATCATTGAGAAAGGACATTTACTTGTAAATTTGATGTTTAAATTCCTCTTCTCTGATGTAAAAAGCTGCATCTTCACATCTTCATTTGCTCTCTCATGTTTCTTTATCTGAAGCTGTTGCTCATCCTTTTAGGAAATGAATGTTCCATAGAGCAGATGGAGCATGTACGGAGCATGCAGGAGAAACTTGCTCGCCTCAACCTGGAGCTCTACGGGGAGATGGAAGAACTGCCTGAAGATAAAAGAAAACTAGCCAGTGATTCCAACCTGGATAGGCTGCTGTCAGATGTAAGTACTGGGCAGGCAGAAAACGTGGAACTTTGCCCCAGCATTCAGTTCAGGAAAGCACTGCTACTGGGTGGGCAGTGATTTACAGTTGAGGAGAACATAGTTCTATAAAAAACCAGTATGAAAACCCTGCCCTCATTTTGGTTCTGAGGAAGCACAGGATCTTGTTTGCATTTGTTTTGGTGAGTGGAGCAGGTAAGCTGCAAGCTGCCTGAGCATGTAGGCTTGTTTAGAGACAGCCCATGTACCCAGGGACTATGACCATTTTCCATATGGTCTACCCTCCTACATCTGAGGAAGATGACACGTAACAGGGAATATAGCTCTGTATATCCTACACTTTCAGTCTGTCCATTCTCCAGTGTATTTACATAAAAAACAAAACTACTAAAAGTTTCTTTACATTTCCTCAGAGCAGCAGATTTTAACTTAAATCCTTGTACAGAATTCAGTGTAGGTTTGCTTTGCTAATAAATCATGCATTTCAGCCCAAACTATTAGTTATTTCCTTCATTGTTTTAATATATTTATTTCATCATACCAGCATAATTGTTGCATTTGTCTGACTGCCAGAAGTGCCACTTCTGATATTTTCTATATTTATATTGCAGCTAGAAGAACTGAATTCATCTATGTATCCTTTCCTAAAATGTCTATTTTGCATTATAGTTTTTGTTAACTGTAATCAAATTACAGTGTGTTTCCCCAGTAACTGGTGTCTTTATAGGAGTCAAGTCACTTCAGTGATGCCTTTTCTTTTAAATTAGTGCTGTAATACAGCATGGATCTTAGGTTCTTCCAGTACATAATTGACTGGATCTTAATATTTGTAATTACATGTTGTTTTTTTCATGTGGTGAATTTCTGAGCTGCTGTGTACCACTTTAGACAACGTGTTCACCATTGATGGCAAAGCCCATCAGCAGCAGGGTCTTTGGACATGCACATTGCTGAGACATTCAAGCATCCATAGTAATACTCCCACAGTATTCAGAAGTGTCTGTCCCATTGAGAAATGAATCCTATTATCTTTTAAATTTTTTAGAAATATGTGTGGTTGTTTATCACTGATCTGACTGTGGATAGCAAACTGACCTAATTTTTTATTTCTAGGCTCATATACTTCAGCAGAGCTTTGGTAACTGAACAAATGTGTGCTCTTAGCCAACACAGAAGGAGATAAAGCTGAATGTCTTAGCTTGTCTTTAGCACTGTGCTGTCGATAATCCAAGGTGACAGTTGAGGAGTGTTGCCTTCAGTTTATTCCACAGTCTAGTTATTTCCATTGTTACACACTTTAATGCACTGAGTAAGCTGGGACTCAGGTTTGGGGCTTAAGGTCCTGCTTTAGTATCAGCATGCCCTGCATGTCTGTGGAAGGCTGTTTAAGGCAGACCTCATAAATGGAGTATCACATAGTAGCAATAAAAATAATTTGTCATCCCCCTTGATCTGCAGTCTAATTCTGGAAGTATTGCAATGCTCAAGTCTCAGTGAGGAATATTTATCCACTGGTTGAGAACTAGCATAGAACTTCCTAGAATGGAATTTGTTGGGACAGGTGTACACCCCAGAGTAAGCACAGTTTCATGTAACACTGTTATCTTGTTTATACCTTTACTATATATGAGAAAATGTTATTCCTTAATGATTTGCTTCAGCCAAAAACTACATTTAGCAGATGCTCAAGATATTCCAAATGGTACCACGGGCTGAGAGAACAGCTTTGTCAATTTGGATTCTCACAGAAGCTTTTAATTTGTTTTTCCTGACAATGGAATTGGGAACAGTTGTGACTTTGTGTTGGTTTGTTTTCTTTTACACAACAAAGAATTGAAGTGCAAATTCAGGTGTTTATTTTGCACATTCCTCTGAGCACCACATTATGTCAGGGCTCAGGACCTAGAGTTGTAAATTATTGTCATGCTGTGCTTTTTATTATTGCCTTACTTAACAGAAAAACTGGGAACAGGGGGAAGTACATTTCTTCTTAGTGTTCACATGGTTGAAAATGATACACGTCTACAAGTTCACTGGCACTTCTCTGGTTTTTAAGAAAGTAGTGATAATGTTGCCTTTCTGATCCACTACACAGACAATCTGCACACTGTGTCTTTAGTGTTTTGTTGATCAGTGATGCCACAGATTAATTTATTGTTAATAAAGTGAAAAATTTTGAATATATGATGTTTCATTTAGAGAAGCTGCTGTCGGTTCAGCTGTGTTAAGAAGATGAGTTCTGGCATTGTCCGAACGTTTGCAGAGTTTACTTTTTTCCATTACTGTGAATAATTGTAAAATGTCAATAAATTAAAACTAGTGTGCATACTAGCAGTCCACATAATTTAAGTACTGTGAAAGTCCCAAAATCGGGTAAACAGTTATTGTTCAATAAATCCAATATATGCAATATTGTAGTTATTTCTATGTTGTAAATAGTCTGGTATTAAATGGTATCATCTTTCTGCTCACAATCAGAGAAAAAATTCTGTATTAGTGTAAAATCAGGCTGGTTTTAGATCCAAAATTTCTATCCATCAAACTATGCCTTTGATTCTAGATTTATTTTACATTCAGGTTTTAGGTAATACATTCAGATTCTATATTGTATATGCTTACTGAACAAGGAATGAAATCTTTGTCCTTCTACTTGAGCACGGAGCTTTCATCAGCCCAATGTGGACATGTGGTCAGGGAACAAAAAATGCCTTTTTTTCAGCATCTTGGGAGAAGATGCTTCTTCAGCCACAAGCAGTAGTTTTGGATTCTGTTCTCTCTGGCTCTGGTCTGAATCACATGAAGGGTCAAGCTTGCACTACGCAGCTGAGGATAGAAACACCACAGGGTTCTCTGGCTACAGATTCAGCCGTAAACTTTGTTATTCCCTGCCTTACCTATCAGGCAAATCTCAGTGATTAACAAACCAGTAGGGATCCTAGTTTTTGTCCCCTAAGGATGTTCTTGTTCTTTACACAGTTTATTGCTGTTGAGATTCTCCAGGAGTTTTGCATGCTGGTAAAAGTACCTCAGAGTCCTCAACTGCAGCTGGGGACATACCTGCGATGTGAAATCCAAACCTTAAGAGAACTAGAATGCAACAAGCTTCTCACAAAGTAAAGCCAAGATTGATGTTTGTTTATTCCCCACCCCCCTTTTTATCCTTCTCTGCACAGTATCTTCTCACTGGCAGCACTTTGACCTTCTTTCTGGGCAGACTTCCGAACATCAAGCAAAAAAGGAGCATTTTTTAGCAAAGGTATAAGGCCAGTGATGGTGGCGAAAGTCACTGGTAGAGCTGCATTTATACAAACAACATGACATAGCTGGAGCTCACCTGGATGCAGGAGCAGAGCTATGTGCTCACTAGCAGCGTCACGCCAGTGAGTGCAGTGTATTGCAGCATCGTAACACACCGTGGTCCCAAACCACACTTTTAACCTATTAGTTTAAGTATTTTACAATAGAGGCAATTCGTTTCCATTTTGGGCTCTGTCATCTAATTCTTCTTAGACTTATAACTTCAAACACATTTCAAATCACTTACAAACATGTTGGGTGTCTTGATCTCTTGTTTCTGTAGCAGTTTATGAAAGTACAGAGCTAATAAGTATAATCTGAGATACAGACAAAACCAAATACCTTTATCAGGCAGCTGTTTAGAATTATACAAGAATTAATCTCTTTTTCTTTGATCTTTGACAGGACCTTTTCCATCCTACATATGGTAAATCCATTGCCACAGGACAGGAGCAGATGCAGGAATGCTTTGTGCACATAAGGTCTCAAGCTTCTTACAATAAACCAAACCTTCTGTTTTCATGTGGATAATTTCTGTAGATACCAACTACTGCAGGTGTCACAGGTGCTCTGAGAGTACTTTTTTCTATAAAGGAAATTATCTATCATAGGGAAGCTGGGCACAGAGCTCACTTCTTGAAATTACTGATGGTAGCCGAATTTGTCCAGTGCTAAACCACAGCACAGGAAGATGCAAGTAGGCTGGCAATGTGTCAAGAGTTGTTTCTTCTGAATACACCTGCATTTCATCACTCCCCATGTGACTGAATCTGGCACTTCATGCCACATGTTACAAACATGAATCAGTTCTGTCCAAGTGCAAGCACTGAGTTCTGAGTTCATGCACTGTTGGGGACTGCTAACACAGAACATGTTTTAGCCAGCAGTAATAGAAATTAGTTCCTTTTCAGGTACAATTACATCCACTGTCAGCGATCTATGCCTTGAGCATCTCACTATTGTCACCACAAAACATGGATTTTAGCACAGACTTCTTCTTTCACTATAAACCCCAGAAGAGTTAACAGGAATGAGCACATACTGAATCCTCGACTGACTGCCTGGAATTACCAACCAGCATGTAGCGTAAAACATCTGATAGTGGGGAAGACATCAGAGGAGGTGCCATGTAACAACTGCACTGGAAATGAGAGAAGATATTTTTATTAGACCTGTATCAAGAAAGCAGAACAATCTAAGCACAGTTCAAGGCCTGAGCTGGCTCTCAGGACTTAAGAGAGACCACCAATTGTTACAGTGAATGCAAACGGGCTGCAGATCAGCCGGCATGTTTTAATTAGTTGCATGTTTGCTTCTTTGCTCTTGAGAACACACTACTTACTCCTATACTGAATCTTATAATTTCTTTAAAATGGTTAAAAGCTTGCAGGAAAAAAAAATACTGCTCCAAATGTCACCCTTTCAACTTTGCTTTTGAAGAAACAAAAGATATACCTTTTTTAATACAGCAGCAGAGAAACTGATTGTATCGCTCATTTTAAAATCAATGCACTGGATGTTCAAAGGTAAATTAAACACAAAATATAAAGTAGATCTTGGAATGCAATGATTAGTAAGGATAACAGAGTGTACTGCACATAACAAACAGCAACAAAAATGCAAGTGTCTAGGCTCAATGCGATTTGGGTTTTGGTACAAAAACACCTTCATGGAGGAGCTGAACTTCTCTCTTCATCCTAATTAAGTACCTGGCACGTCTTTGCCTTCTGTGATTGTTGTCTTCTCCCCAGAAGCACTGGCAGGAGATGCACTGTAAATTCTATGTCTTTAATATCAGGAAAACAAAACCATCAGGAGACTCAGTTTCTAAGGCAAGGCAGTGTCTTTTTAAGTTCTAGATTGTCCTGAAAAAACTGTTCTTGGAAGCTCATGAACCTGCCACAGCAGATCTGATTTAAATTGACAGTCATGGATTCAGAAAATCATCTCTTAATACATTGCTTCATGGCTGGAGTCACAGCCAAAATTTGGGATTTTTTGACAATGGAATGGCCTATGCAGCATGCTGGCATCAGATAGGACTGACCTTTCTCAGTGAGGGAGGAGAGCCTTTGCTCAGGAACTAGTGGGGCTCGTTGGCAGAGCTTTAAACTAGATGTGATGGAGGAGGGACTCTGAACTGCGCTGGCCACACTGGAGCACACTACCAGTCTTACAGAGGCTACCCAGGGACCCTTCCGGTAACAAAAGCCAACAGGGAAACACCAGGGAAGTATGTCAAAGGAATTATGGGGTGTATCTCTCAGGAAGGACTGATTCTGCAATCAGGCAAGAGAGGGCAGATTTCCATATTAGCACTGAACTTTGCTGAAATAAATCTTTACAAAGAGACTTGTGGCACCCTTCCTCGAGAGCTGTAAATCCCTCTATCTTAAGCTAAAAAAAAATACATATTTTTAGGGGTTGACTTTAGATAAAAATTTTGAATCTTTAAAAGTTAACCACTGTAATAGACTACAACTTTCCCCCCTCCTATTTAGAAATAGCGAGATGAGTATGAGACTTCCAACTTACAGCTCGTTAATTGTATTAAAACAACAAAAACCATAACTTGAAATAACTAAGAACAAACTAAGATTTCTCCACAAGCTGGAAGGCTGTGACCAGAGTGAATGAAAGAGTACTTTGCAAATAACTGGCCACACTGATCAATGTGATATTGCAGCATCAAGCCAAAGGCCAAATTGCTGGAAAGACTGAAAATTATAAAATACTTGAACAAACACAATCTAACAGTTAAGCATGTGCCAATACAAGAAACATTTATATGGAACCCTAAAAATTGCAATGCACCTGTGCAAGGAAATAGGTGTGCGTTAAAATAAGAATCCAGCATTCCAGGCTAAAACCACTCAGACTACGACTGCAACAAATAAATATTGCTTCATTTCTGTGTCAGGATTTTCAATCTAATTTACTGTAAAATAAACCTCACAGAAACTACAAGAAAAAGTAAGCATTTCTTTTAGTTTTCAGCTGGCAATTCAACTGGTTCAATATGTAACCTTGGCAGAGTTACTTCAGCCTTCACTGTTTTTACAGGAAAGAATATGCACCCTGAGAAAATGCCTTTTTCTTACTTTCTACAGGCTAGAAGTTATAAGCATCTTAGTACTTTCAGAGCAGTAGTACAGGGCTGAATAGGCTACCAAAGCCAACAAGGTCTGAGATAAAAGCTGTACATTTATAAGGTCTTGAATTCAGAGATCCTGATGATCTTAACAACAAAACCTTGCACCGGGTTACCTCCTAACTCAAGAATGAAAAGGAGTAATAAGCCTTACTACTCCAAACATACTAAGCAATAGTTTAGAAAGAATAGGCTGGAAATTAATTTAGGAGTAGTAAAACTGGTTTTAAAAAGTTTAGAAAGCCCAACTAACCTCACTTTACAGGATAACAGTTTGCTTTGTTCTCATTTGAAACCTAGGCAGATTTTAGATATTCTGACAGAAACATTTCAAGAGCAAAGTCAGCCCAGACCAAAAACACATTACTAAGTTCAGTACCCCTTCAAACACAGACAGGCTTCTTCAAAAACATGCTTTGTTCTGCAGGCTCAGTAGTTTGAAGGGTAAAGTTGAGATCAACAAGTCCACATTTATCATGCTGGACACAAAAAGGAATTTCTGACATCTTGTTTGATAGAAGAGTTAGTTTGAATGAAGGTTTGCTTCCACAGGATCCCATGCTGGAACTGAAATTTTCAAGACAACTATAAGTAAGTGGTAAAGCCACATGAAACAAGGATGAATTTTGTATCAAGATTATTAACTTTATGCACCTTCACAGCAACTACATGTACTGTACTACTATGAGTTAGCACCAGGTTGTACTTTCAGGTTTCAGGAATGCACTTAAAATAAAGACTTGCTTGGAAAGAAGGCTGCATACATGCACAATTTCCCATCTACTGGGAAGTAAAAGTGAGAAGTACACAGAAATACACATAATTTACCAAAAGCCTTATCCAGTAAGTTCATTTTGAAGTTAGCAGCTTCGTCATCCAAATATGGATGAAGCATAAAAACTGCAAATTTCAACCCTATTCTTCCTTAGTTTAAACAGACTAGCTAAATAGGTATTCAGACTTAAACACATAGTATTTGCCCAACATGAGCTGGGCAACACCACTACATCTTACTGACACCACTACACACAGTTGCAAGCTTCCTCTGGATCCAGTCATTCACTCTATTTGCCAACACTTTCCTCTTATCCTTCCTGTTGGTTTAAAGTGTGAGGACAGAAATACAAAATAGTAGGTAAAATAATACATCCCAATGCTGTTATAAAAATTTTAAATCCAAAATCCTAGCTTGGAATCAATGTCACATCTACTTTCTGTTTTAGACAGTACTCACTTTGTATTATTTCAGATCAGGACAGTCTTGACCTGTGACAGTTGAAATGCAACCCCACTTAATAGGTAAAATTCTTCTCCACAACTGAAAAAAAATTTTTTCTACTATTCTACATGAACAGATACTTCCAAAAAGGAAGTTTTAAAACTTCAAAAATTAAAAAACCTTCAACTGCAATGTTGCAAAAAGGCTACAGGAAGAAAGGATAGATCTTTTCATGTCAAAAGTACCAGTTCTGTGAATTAAGACATTTATCAACTTTAGCATGTTTCTTGGTTAGTGAATCCACCTATAGAAGCAACTTGGTGAGACCATGGAATCCATCAAAATTGCCAGCCTCCTAATTTTGAAAAAGTGACATGTGAATTAATTCTGCTTCTCCACAGGAATTTTCTTGCTTCAATACTACTCTATCCCCAAAGACAAAGTGCAGAGCAAACGAGGGAATATGCTCCTCTTAGGTACCCTTCTACAGGAAAGGAACACCTTGATTCTTCTATGATCTCTTAGTTCCTTCTGATCAGAAGGCAGGTGATCAAATTCCTTCACGAGGGCAGGGAAAGTCAATGGACTGAAGCTCTAGGAGAAGGGTTTGTTGTAAACTGAAGCACTCTCCTTCCAAAGGCAGGATACATAACAGAAAAAACAAGTTCAAGTTCTAGGCACGTCACTTCTGCATTTTCTGATAGCGTGCATTGAACGACAACTTCCTATAAATTCCTTTCATCGTCTTTTTCTTGAAACAGACTGTATTTCCATACTTAGACTGAACTCAAGCCTTGTATCAGTTCAAGATAAGCAAAATAAGGCACAACAGCACTTACTGAATTTCACAGCAGTTTAACGAAACCCACTCCTAAGATACCATATGGGTTCCCAAAGACTTTGCTTCACCTTCTGCAGACAAATCATATATATTGCTGAAGCTACCTTCTATACCTACCTTTTTTGCTATGTCTGACATAGCCAGTCATGTATGCTAGACCTTCAGAAGCCCTTAGGCCAGTGTTCACAGCAATTGTTGTAAGACTTACTCCGCTCCCTGCTCCCCCAGCTAAATGTCAGGAAAATAATTGATTTTCAATATGTAATCAGTTTATTTGCTCAATATGCAACGGTTTTCAGATGCTAGTCATTCTACTTGCCTTCTGAATGAATACCAAGACCACGGGATCCTTGCAGAAGACATTCCTGATTCAGAATGCAGTTTCTTACAATTAACATGTTCCACCTCACAGGTCATTCTGTCGGTTCAAATGCAGTCTTACTTGAGCCGAAGACAGAAATACAGTCAGACCACTGAAATTGGATGACAGAAAGCAAAAGCCACCATGGGATATACCAAAGAGTTTACATGCATTGTGGAGTAGGAGGTACCTTCGATCTCTTGTCAGCTCCTCTGCAGATTGACAAACAACTACTCCAGTCACAGATGTGACAGAAATTTGCAACAGTATTGCCAAAATTTTGGTTTCTATCAATATACCACTGAACCTCAGTTTAAATTGCTTTTACTGTTTATGATGTTTTGCTAATTTCCTAGGCCTCAAATGACTAACTTCAGCTGCTTCCAATTAGATGCATTCTTTACATCTCTGAGAGTGAAAGTTTCAAAAACATACTCCACCAGAAATGAAAGAGAATTCATCTAGCTTTCTGTGCTCCAGTATGCTGTCAAAGTGGGACAAATAGTACTGACAGTCTTCTTAAAAAGTACTGACAGTCTTCTTTGGATCTAAGCTGTAGGATCACAAACTTTGTATGTTATAGAGCCACTATTCTGAATTTTTTAGTATTATAACTAAACAAAGGCTGTTTTGGACAATAACTTAAATGCAAGACATTTAATACCTATATACCAGTAAGCTGGAAAAAAAGTACTGTAAAATCTCTTTGGAACACACTAATAATGTACAACCAGGTACACTTAGTGTACAATAAATACGCATTTTAGGTAAAAATAACGTACAATCTACCTTTAAAGCAGAAATTGCACCTTTAAGGCCATTTTGCCAATTTAAAGTAATATTACTGAAAGGAAATTATACTCACCCCCAAAACGCAAGCAATTAATTCCAGTACTCCTGTGAAGTTTGTATTTTGCTTGTGTACTAATTATCTGGACAACCCTGTATCGTCTCATTTGGTTACCAGTATGCAGACATTATCACCATTTTTCCATTATAATCCCTACTTCATTGTTTTCAAAGACTATTAAGAGAACACAAGATTCAATTTTTTATTTGTTATTAGGTAACAAAGTCCTTGGTTTTCATGTGTTTTCTTCTAGAGAGCTGCATTATAAATGATTACTATATCAATATGCTTGGTAAGACAAGCTGCACTTCTGCTCATGAAATTAAATTGTATGTCTCCAAAAATGGAACTCTGGGAGGTATAAATTAACTCAACTGCACACAGACTGATTTGTAAAGTATTTAAGTAACATAAGCATGCAAATATGTTTAAAATACACACGTTATTTTTTAATCTTCGACACAGAGTAAGAATGGCATTGTTATCACTCACTTGGAAGTAATATGATTTTGCATCACATTATGATTTCATGAAGCTGCGTTCTACTAGAAACTAAGACTAGAATGAGTCAGGAATCAGGAGACAGTGATTTATTATTTTTTACCGTTTTAGGAAAAAGTGATTAAGACTAGGTCACCCATCAAGTGACATCGAAAGACAAACTGTATACACAGCTGAAAACAAAAGAGTAATTTACAACTCTGCCCTAAACACAGGGGAAACACAGCACACCCCATCCATAAGGGACAGAGACGTCACACAAGAAACAAAGCTGCAAATTTATTTTCTTTAGTTTTAAGTTTTTATAACCTCAGCTCTGTTTATCCCACATAAGACATTTTCAGTAATATGAGTTCTTCTAGTTCATATACTATACAATTGCAAGTAGAATGAGGTGCATGTGAAGTACAAAAAAAAAAAAAAAGTACTAGCTTACATTGGATAGACTTAAAATACTGCTCAAAACAAAGTGGCTTTTCAGCTTTTTACCTTTGCATTTTGGAAATATTCTCTGCAGTCCAAAGAGAGGCAACGAATGGAGAAAAAAGCAACTCCAAAGCAGATGGAACAAAGAGGCACATTATTAAGAGAAACAAAGGAAACTCAAATCAAATGAGAAAAGAGACACTCCTCCAATCATGAAGTCCAAAGAAAAACATTTTGCAAGTCTTTCAGAAATGCATGCTGCTGTCCATCCATCCCAGCTGGGTACATGAATCACACTCCACACTATTTAGTAGTCTACATTTATGCTTGCAAGAGAGAGAGCACTTCTCTTGTACTGTACATAATTCCTTGCCCCAAAGAGCTTACAATCTAAGTTCATAAAAAAGAATGCATCAAGTAGCTGGATCAAGATCAAACAAATGGAGAAGACAGGAAGATAATTTTATAACAAATCAAAACTGGGTTACATTATTAAGTGAGGTAACTTCTGAACATCATTGGCAGTGATGTTCTTAAGACATAAGTTGTTTTTCAGTTAGAAGCTCTTCTGATCATGAAAAACTGGTTTAAAATGTACAGAATGATGTATTAAAAGTAATCAACCAAAATTCTTAAAATAGACTTGTTGGCAAGACACAAAAATGTTCAGATTGCCTAAGTTCTTGAGACACTAACTTGTCATTCTACTACAAAGAAATGAATGTTAGAGAAATTCATATGTACATGTAACATTTGAATGTAAAAGGCTTTTTACATTTAAGTTTAAAATGTTAAATTCTGATTTAAGAATCCTGTTGCTATAAACATATGCTTAATACTTAAATATTAATATGAAAATAGTGCTATTTTAAAAATGTATTTTAAACTTTAAAATAAACTATGGACAAGTTGGTTCAAAAGATCAACATTCTTTAACTGCAATGACTCACTTTTCCCACTTCTTAAAAAAGGGAAAAACCTTTTCCCACTCTGTTCCTGTTCCTTGTCAGTTGAAATAGAAGTGATCGGTCCATCAGCTTTTAAGTTTTTTAGTTCAGTTTTAGGGTTTTATTTTTACTTGCTTTGTTGGGTTTTTTTTTCGCATTTCCCTATTTATATAGTTTTTGAAGTCAACTTTATATGTAATTTATATGTCACCCTTGTGCCCATTTAGCTATAATTTCTTAATCCCTTTACAAGCAAATAGAAAGCACCAACTTTCATGCAACCATGACATTCTTTCATACCAGGGAATTTTGCTTTGAATTATATACATAAGCCATCTGCAACAATCCATGACATTTGAAAAAATGTTGGAATAGTTATAGTAGTAAAAATTCAATTATCCAGTCTGTGTATGATGGATACACAGAAGAGTGTGTGTATCCACTTTTCTGTGGAAGAGAAAAAGAGAAATATTCGTTTTTCACTGTAACAGCCATAACCAGTGGAAAAATCTGACTTGAACAATCCTTTTGGAAGGGAAGCAGATATCAAGAGAGTTTCATTTAAACATAGAAGTGAGACAGTGAGGTTAAGGACTGCTAACAGGAGATAATTTATCTTTAATTTTTAAAGGTACTCTCAAGGAAATCAAACCAGAAGTGAAGACTAAAGAACTATAAATTTCTTTGACCCAAGTCAGTATTAGCATTTACTTTTTTTAAATTATATTTGTATTAAATTTGCTTATAGGAGGATACAAAAGGAGTATAGCCACAGATTACCAAGGTAATTTGATCACTTCTGACCAACAGAGGTCAAAAATGAGGGAAGAAAATGGTCAAGGGATTATGATCAACCACTTCTTGCACATGACACAAAATTACAAAAAAACCCCTGAAGACCTGTAATAAGACCCTCCCCCTTATTTGAATGAGTTTCAATTCCCAGGTAAAGATGAATCAACAAAATTAAAATATTGTGCTGTTTTATTGGTGTAAAAATCACACAATTGCTAGTTCTGATTCTGCAGAGATACATCCATGCAGTTAAACATCTATGATCCCACAGCCAGAAGAAGCCATTAAATAGAATATCTGCTGTTAGTCAGCAATTAATGCAAATTTACATATGAGATCAAAAGGTGTGTATCGTACAATATACAACAAATCCTAATACAGTACATCAACCTGGATAGCAGGATACACTCAAGGAACTCTGTTAATAGTGAAGCCTGTCTATATGGCAGAGAAATAAGGCCTGAAAACAAGATGACAGAATGTACCCCAGAATTACTAAGAAGTAAACTGTTCATTTCTGGTTTTATTTTTTTTTTTCTGGGAATTAGAAGTTTATAGAGGTATTGACACATTACTTGACCATACAATTTGTTATAGTGAACACTCGTGGACGTGATCTGTTATTAAAAGGTAATGTGTGAGACATGCAATTATAGGTGGTGCTTAGGTAAAGTGTAATTAATGTTTGGGATCTATACCCAACTCTTTTCACAAAAGGGAGAACTGAAAGTGATTTGTTTGACAGACTACCAATTGTGCCATAAATGTTTATATGCATGCGGCTGGATCAGGATCATGAATGGATGAAACGTGAACACCTGGCAATCTGTGGTTACATACTCTATAATGTATGCAGTGAAAATCACAAAATCCAATCCAGTTGATATGGCAAACAGCCTGCAAGAACTCTCCCAACCTGAGTAAGTTGGTGAACTGCAAAGAGGCAGGCTTTCTAAAATTGCAAACAACTTTCCAATTGTGAAAGGGAGCTTGGGAAGTAATACTGGCTGATGATAGATCATTAGTTTGTCTCTTTCCCGGCACAATAAAAATAAATGCCATAGTGAAAGAAGAGTTTATGTGCTTAAAGACAACAGATTAGCTACCCTCTTCTGCAAAGATGTTTCAACAGGAAAAAAGAAACCACTAAAAAATTCCAGTTGGAAATTTTGGCGACAAACTCTGCAAACTCAAGTCCAACAAAGATCACAGATGCCCACAGAAAATGATGTGAGAGGCAGTGTCACATTCAAGGAAAAAGTTTTTTTTTCTCTCTGTACTGAAATTAAAATACTTAAATACAAAAGTGGACAAACTGACAAAACAGAATCACAACATTTAATGTAGAATAGAGCGCACTGAGCTAGATGCATGGATATTTAAATAGGCCTTGAAACCAATACCCCTTTCAAAAATTAGTAAATTCACAGTTAACGGCAGTAGGCTTAGAGGTGAGAGAAGGGTCGAAGTTGTTCCAGTTGAACTTCCAGGGAGATTCTCTCTTCAAGAACATCCTACAAAAGAAAGATTTTCTACTGACTGTCCAGAGAATGGAGTATTAGAAATTTCCCCACGAGTTTAAAACTGGTAAATATCAGCTTCAGTTTTGAGAACTAATGTATTTTCTAGAATCTGGTAACTCCTCCCACAATCTGAATGGAAGATTGGCTGGCTAGTAATTACTTATCATTAAAAATCAATACTTTGCTCCAAGGTGATGCCATTTAGAACTTTTTCCTTTCTCTCAAATGACCCAAACCCACATAGCTGTAATCAGATGCAAACCCAACTATAATATTTTCAAATGACATCTAAAATATTAAGGGGGTAAGCTCTCATCTGAGTCAGTGGATAGGAAACTCACAATTTTTTTTCCCCTGAGCTTTTCCTCTTATGTGAAATTATACCCCTTGACTCTCAAGCAGTAACAACTGAAATTCAGGCTTGGTAAACCAGTTTTTAAAATGGTTTAACTTCCATTCTAGTCAGTATCTTATTAATTCATGTTTACATTTAAGACTTTTTAAAATTACCTTGATAGTTAAAATTAGATATCTTAAAGTAAGAAAGATGGCAAGAGAAGGACATTAGGATGGTACCTACAGATAGCTCCAAAATAATGACAGCTGACCTAGATAAACAGACAACTATCACTGTACTAATTACTAAGCTGCAAGTTTTGTATTCCAGATTACTATATTTGTTTAAAAACATTTATAATTTTTTAAAGAGTTTAAGGTTTACTTTTTCCTTGAGAAGAACACAAACCACTTCGGGTGCTTGTCTCAGTACTGCTTTTCAAGTATGTGATGACCACAAGAGATAACTTAGTATTAATAATTTGAGGCAAAATTTTAGCGTAGCTGAAAGCAAATCAGTGCACTGAAAAATGTGCTTTGTAGTAGCAAAAGCATCCTTTGTAATTTCACAAAGCTTGTCACAATTAGGTATATTTGATGACCTACAAAAAGAGCTAAATATTTCATATGAGTATCCGCTATTCTGTATGTCACTGGTTTGCAGAGATGCCTGTTACTGTGCATTACTAACATCTTGCTCTCTGAGGCTCTTCTCCTAAACAGACAAAGATGAAGGAATTACCTTTAGTTGCTGCTGTAGTTCACTATTCAATCTGGCCAAAACAGTGTTGGTTTCTTTGTTACGTCTGATTGATGCCTGAATTGCCTTCTTGTCTTTCCCCACTGATCTGAGAATATATTAGAAGTATTTTAGTAAGTCCTTTTGCCACTTAGCTGAATACCTCATTTATAGTCACCCTTCTTTAAATGAGCGGAATCCCCTTTTCAAAGTTTCTTTACTTGTTACTTTTTTAAATTTTCCATCGTCTGCCTGGCTTGATTAATCATGTTTGTTTGCACGGAAACACAGATATATGTGTTTCATATATGCACGCATAGTTGGTTTCAATCAAAGAGCAAGCAGCGCATTTTAAAAACTTGTCATAATGGACTTCTTGAAGTCCCATCACACCGTACTACATTCATTTACCTTAAAGTGAGTAATGTAATAAGACTACTTTCATGCTAAGACACACAGACTGCACATTTTGGACTGTTCATAACAACCATTTAGAATTAACCACTCCATATTAATACTTTCACCACTTAATTACAACATACTTGCAGAAGTTAAAGAGTTCACACTCCAAAATTCAAGATCTCTAAATGGTTTCCCACTAGTAGAAGCTTTGTGATGATCTTGTTTAAAAACCAAAAACTTTTCAAATTGTTCAATTAATCTACATTAAACACACAGAAACTGTTTGCAATTCCTGGAACAGAAAGCGTGTATGCTGTTTAAATGTAAACTTTCCAGTAACAGATGTATTTATACACTTCTTGGGTTACCTAGGAATAGATGGCTGTGAAGCAAGAACAGCAGCTATGACACCTGTTTTCTGTGTATGTTCCTCAGCTTCAGGTCTTAGCTCATCTTCTGATTTTAATCTTCTACGAATAGGCTTCGGTGGTGGAGCAAGTGGGGTAGTGCCTTTACCCTGCAGAGCAAAACACAGCCTATTAATTCTCTCAAACTATATTTCCCATCAGATATTTTCTGATGGACATTAGCTGCATTCTCACGTGGTCTGAAAAATATCTGAAGTAGTAAATTCTACCCCCCTGATGAAAGGGCAGTAAGTTGCTACACACTAACAAAGAACTGTGCAAGCAGAAACACCATGGTACAACTGAGTACTGCATATACACAATTCAGAGCACACTTTAACCCCAGTAATTATGTGTCTGCAACCAAAAAAAAGCTACTGTTAATCAAGTTCTGCCCTAAACGTTTAGATCTGTTTCAAAAATTTGACCACTTACAAATATCTTAATTTTCTGCTGTCTCGAGAATAAAGCTAATCATCTGCTGCTGCTGCTGCTGCGAAAATTCACCATACATGTGCCTATTTCAAACACGTATCAGACCTAAGAAAACTGGGTTCAAGTGGAAGCATATAAAACTGCTGTTGCAAATCAAAACAGACATATAATTTCATATACATCAGACAACTGCACTCTCCTTAACAGTGTACTTTGCATACCACACTAGTGGGGACATTAGCTGGTGCTTTGTCTTCAACTCTTCCATCTGCTTTGGCAACTCTAAGAGAACCTGCAGAATCAGAGGGCTTCTCAACCTAAAGGGATATAAACTGTATTTAGAATGTTGCCTAAAAAGCCTACTTCTTAACAAATATTTCGTTTGCAACAATTAGAATGCATAAAAGTATGCTGTGTTTCCTGATACATGAATACAGTTAACACCCAAAAATTCCAGTTGAATTCTTCTTTAGAAGCATAAGTCCAATGTTATGAGGCCATGTACAGTACAAAAGAGGCTGTGGCCTGATGACAAGCTGCTACAGCTGTTTCTGCTGTTACAGTACCACCATTATTCTATTTGTTACTGCCAAAGGTTAATCCCTCCCATGGAACACAATGTGACTGCTCCCCATCCACCTCAATGCAAAACAATCAGCAAGATTAAATTAAGCAGTTTTCAGGGGCAGCTTAAGCTAATGTAGCTGGTTTTGCAATGAGGTACATGGAGAATGCTCAAATGGTTCTATGTCATTGACCTTCCTGAACAAGGGAAGCAAGAACGTGCTGCTGACAGCTGGAAGAACTTTAAAGCAACGCAGGGACTTCTGCAACTGAGGATGCAGAAGTGCCCCAAAGAACTTACAATGTGGATGAAAGCTACAAATTATGAATGGAAAACATGAAGTAATTCCTGTAACAGCAGTTGGCTATTATGACATTAATAGGAATAAATCCTGAGGCTTTCAAACTTTTAAGTCCTATGTCTGTGCTACGAAACAAGGTTTTGTAAACATCTCTAACCATCTACTATAAAAGGATGACAGAGCTCTATTCAGTTTAGCTCTTTGTCCAGTGGCTTTGAACAAAAGCAAATTAATGAAATTTTAGCAATGTTGACAACACTTGACAGTCATCTCCGCTATTAAGACATGTAGTAAGTCATTTTGAAGGCTGGCAAGAATGAGCAGAAGAAAGGTTTTGCCTGTGCTAAGTCTTAAATGAACCAATGCAATTGTGTTTGTGCACATATATATGCTAATAAGTACAAAATCTTTTGAATTACAATCAAGAACTGAGATAAAAAGAATTTCTTTTGCTTAGGTGTTTGGCAATTACCAAGTGTGCAATGTAATTGCTTTCTAGCAATGAATTGGGGCAACATAAAACAAAACAAAAAAACCCAACAAACAACAAACTCCTGACAGAAAATAGCAGAAGTAGGTTTTAAAAAAGTTTTATAATTGTTGGTAGTATTAAAACAATTGACAAGATCTTAATTTCTGCTCACCTGCAAGACTTCTGAGTGTGTTTCAATTTCATCTTCTTCTTCTTTGTTTACACCTGAAACAGCAAATGCCTCAAACTGGCTGAAGTCTGCAAAATTTGGCTGTTCTGGTATTTGTTGAGGTGAGGTACTGGTATGAGCTATTAGGCCTTCAGCATCTACTGGGCGATGCACATGAGGACCTGCACCCTGCAATAAAAGAACAAAAATATACAGAGAAAGCATTAAAGCATTATTTTCCTTTTCAGTGGACAAAAATTTATGTCCCATCAGTAGGACAAAATGCACCTCATCCAAGACATGCACATGGAAATATTTAAGAGAAAAGGAAGTTCAGATATGCTACTAACTAGGGAATAAGACCAAACATGGATGCGCTGTAGCACTAGCTACACTCATTGAACATTAGATGTTTCTGCTGTGACAGAGCCAGGTGGGCTTGATACAGATTTTGAGTCTAGTTCCATAGGTAAACATGCTTATGTGATAAACATGCTTATGTGATCACACTGTATGAAATATGTCTGTCATTGTACTCTCCTCCTTTGCAGATAAATTTTGAATCCTTGCATATAATTTCTGAATCACTGACAGATTTCAGCTGTTGGTAACTCAGATTCTAACAAGTAGCTGCTGGTGAAAAAAAATCTGAAAAGCAATTTTAACTGTCCCATGTCAGATCTGCATAGCAGCTGAAGGATTTATGTGGTTGAGATAAAAGAAAAAACAACTTTTTCAGGATTTGTTTTCAACCAAATCACTAACTGAAATCACTCAGATCAAGACTGCTAAGGTCACCAAGTCTATGAAAAATGAAGAAGTGGGATCACTTCTTTTGGGAGCAGGCATGTTACATAAAACTATACCCTGTTCCAGACAAATGTAAGACAAACCCTTATTTTGCAAAACTTTGAAAAGCTGCTCTTGCAGCCTCTGTTATGGCCTATGTGCTATACAGGGATAGGAGAAGAAATGTGAAAGGATAACTTTTATCTCTTTCCTACAATTCAGAGCTCCAGAGCCACTCATTCCTCCTCAATATTAACTTTAAGCCCTATCTGTGGTTCTACCAGAAGCATTTTTTAGTGAGGAAAGGCTAATATTCATCTATAGTCTAGGTTTTGCCATCATTCACATCCTGGTGGTTTCAAAAATATATCAAGCAATGATGCTCATTTCAGAGGTAAACTAAAATTCAGTTAGATAAAAATAATGCACTGAGTCAGAATATGGTTTCTAAAAAGTGAAATCACCTGTGAAGGCTGTGGTCTTGGAGGCACTGCAGGCGGATAGGCAACAACTCCAGCCTGTTGCTGTCCTGTAAAAGAGGCAACACATTTGGCCAAGGCTGTTACTCTGCACATTAGAGTGCTCTCAAATTTTCTTAATTGTCAACATGAAGACATGTGGCATTTTGCCTACCTACTGACCTGTCATAATTGTAATGTCACCTCCTTTTAAACTGGAATAATCTGAACATGGATCACATCCTTTGTTTTAGCTCAAAGTCCAGACATGGTCATACTTTTCTGGTCTTAGTATCTTAGTCCTTTTTTTTTTTTCCCTATCCTCATTATAGGCTCTTAACATTTTCTCATACTTTGTGATCCTGAATTGAAAAGTACTGACAAAACAGAAGTCCAATAAAGCCCCTAAAGCAGAAGTGACATTTAATCATTTCCTCTGAAGTCAAATACTTAATATCCATCTCAAATACATTTGATACCAAAAGAACTCCCCTTGAAAATTTACTGGCAGATGCAATTTGTTGCATTTGGTGCACAACCAAAATGTTATTTCCTGACTTGCTTCCCACATTCATCCAAAGGACTACAATGCCAGAATTCAGAATTAATGCTAAATTAGCTGTTTAAGCAAAATGCAGTATAAATTTTAATACAAACAATAAGAGAGACAACATTTTCAGCTTTTTTTATTCATAAACAGGGTTTTAAAGACCACACTCTAAACCCCTCTCCAGAGGAAAAAACACTTTCTGCTTCAGGAATCTATGTGCTGAAAACTGATACACACTAAGAACAAAGAATATGTACCTGGGGTAACTGAAAAGGATCTGTTCATATCTAAAGATGATGATCGAGAATGAGAAGCATGAGGTCTTGGAGGAGGTGGAGGTGGTGCAGTGTTATCTGGAGAGGTTCCTGAATGTGATCTGCAAAACACATAAGCTTCTGTAGTGATTTTAGGCAGCTACAACAGCACTAATATTCGAAAGTTCTTCAAAGCATGCAATTAAAAAATGAAGTTTGATAGAGGTAAAAAACCATGATTGCCATTGATTTTGAAGATTATCAAATCAGTTTTAAACTTCTGCTTCAATTTAACAATTGTTTTGATATTTCCATTTACTTAAACCTCCCTTATCCAAATTACTCTCATATTACCAAAAGTAATTTATCTTTGGGAAACCAACAGCTTGACACACATCTCAAACAATGATAGTTCAGGAATAGAGAATGCTAAATATGGTAATTCCATCCAGATGGTAGTCACTACAATTTCTAAGATGTAGTCAACATCCTGTTTAGGTTTTAAATGGGATAAGTTCAACATCATTAAAGAAGAATATTAAGTTTCTGTTGGACCTGCCTCCATGTATATCAAGCTCAGTGTATGAGACAGCAATTGAATCCCCTGCCTGAGTTTTTCCAAGTCTATATACTTGGCAGAATCTTCAAAAATTTTAACTCATTCTTATATAGGATCACCATCTAGTGGATACCTGTTGTAAGCTCATAGAGAACACATGCAGAAAGGATAGAAGGATGAAGTACTGTACTAAGTGCCAATTACGTGGGATTAATTATAAAGAGAACTTTTGTACAGCTTCCACTTAAAAACAGTTTGCAGAAGCTTCCTAACTAGTCCAGTTTGAGCAGAACAGATTTACATAAATACAGCTACTCTTTTATTCAACTCATAAGTGATAAAATATTTTCTATGACTGATTTCAGTAACATTCTTCTATAACCTAAGATATAAAACTAGGAGAGGTAAAGGTATCCAAGTTTCACAAAAAACCTGGAATTCTCAAATGTGTAAGTCCAGACAGAAAACTGAGTTATCCTAACAGAAAAGTTTATTTTCTTAACATACGCTATGACAATGCTTCTGTAACACGGTGTAACTCTCCAGCTGATGAAATTCTAATCTAATTACACTGATTCCTTGGGTAGTACCTCTAACTAGTCTAGTGTAAAAGGCACAAGTAGAACTAAAAATGGAAGAAAGTGGTTTAAGGACACTCCTGAAGTATCATTATCTGACATAGCCTTGTTGGACCAAGGACAATATCATCTCTATAAAAAGTTGCAATTGGTAGATGAGGTACCAGTGGAAAGAAGTAAAAGAGTGAGAGAAAAAATTTCCTGGGTGGATACTGTCAGAACTGCCAGGTCTGGACAGAAGCTACCTGTGCCATAACATGGCAAATCATCAGAAAACATCACTCATCTACACAAGTTCAGCAAGGTGATCCAATCCAAAATCAGAGATGAAAAGAGCATGTTGAAACCATCACACTGATAGTGCAAAACCACACAGAACAAGGAACAGAATCAAATTTGCCATTAGGTAACAACGGAAGAAACAATTTTTCAAGCTGCCGTACTGAGTGGCAATTGCAAATCTTTCTTGGCTATTGAAGTCATCACCCTAATTATTTTTGTTTTGAAACTTACCTCTGAAACTGATTGTAAGATGGTTAATGGCGTAGCTGGTTTTTAATCCTATTCAGGCAGATTTAATGGGAACAATTAGCACCAGCTAGTACAGCACATTCTCTTATGTCAAATGATGCAGTTGTTGGGTTATGTGCTTTCATAGCTTCCTCCAATCCCTTAAATTACACTGGACCTATGACTGCCCCTTATTTTACAAGTCCATTATTAAAAAAAATTGAGTTACTTCCATGGCATTCCTAATTTGTGTTTTATTCTTTTTTTCACACTACAGTGTCACAAGGTTCTCTTTCAATAATGTCTAACATATTTTTAAAATACAAAAAATTGGTTTCAAGTAATAGTGTTATCTCCTCTGCTTACATTCCCATGTGTTTAAGGAGAAAGTCTTTAAAATTTCTGACAATGTGGAGCTTCATTTGATTGGCCAATCTCCTTTTTAGACAACTTTTTTTTTTTAATTTTCACTTTACATTAACAGAAGCAACATCCATTGTTAATGCATTAGAAAACAGACTGTCTCCAGACTCCTGAGTGTTAAAGTTAGGAATCTATTTTGCCATCATTTTACAAGCTAATTGTCAAATAACCAGAAGCCTGGAACAGGCTTCTTTAAACACCTTTCACTTCCTTTTTTCCAGTTGCTACTCTACTGACCGTTGCCGTGTTACAGCGTTTCCAATTTGCTCCGGATCTGAAGTATAAGAGTCCGAACTGCTGTAACCATCTGCTGGGAAAAGAAAGTATAGTTTAGTATTTGATTTGTATCACTAGCATGCCCCGAGAGATAGAAGTAACAAATAATTCCAAATATCCAATTTGCATTCTAATGCTTCCCTGTAAGGTATCTGGTCGGATTCAAAATCGAGTCTGAAAAATTGAAGGATCCAACACAAGCCAACTCCACTCACTTAATACTATCAGATGTTTGTTACTACGGGGATGTACTAAAGAATAAAAAATGACAAAAAATGTTGTATTTAAAATAGAAAATGTAAGTTTCAAAGACAATAATTTTTTAACACTTGACATTCCATCACTTCAACAATCTGGTGAACAAGAGCAAGGGATATCCAAGGAAAAAAAGCAAAGAGTGGGACATGCCTGGTTTTAGAAGTACTGAAGGACTGTCATCAACCTTGGGAATCGGAAAAAGGAAAAGATAGGTACAATACCCAGATTAACTCAGTGGCTTTGCTACTACTGTAACTTCTGTACTTCAAGGCTAGTGGTTAGCTTTGTTTTGGACTAAATCTTTTTAAAAACTTTCAGCTTTTTGTTAAGGCAACCTACAAAAATGAAAGGTGCTATTATAGCACCACATAGTTTCTGCAAGTATACCCTCACCCTTAGAAGCTCTGCAAAGTTTCTGATTTTTTCCCCAGAAATAAGGAGCCTCATGAAAATCACAAGATTTGTGTGGAACAAATGTAGACAGAAAATAATATCTCAGGATAATTTATCACAAGGGATTATTCTAAAGCACCAGGTAAAGCAAAATTTAAGGTGGAAAGTCACTGAGACTCGGTTGATTTGTTATCAGTGAAGAGGAAAATTCTACTCAAAAACATTAAGATTTTTTCTGAATTATCTAGTCTCAAAGGATTACTTTAACCTCCTAGGACACCAAAGTTTTCAAAAGTGTTAAGACAGATTAACCAGGCCTCAGAGATGAAAATCCTGCAGAGATGACACTCATGATCAGCAAGGCGCATTCTTACCTGTTACTTTTTTTGTATTTTTCTGCCTTAAAACGACAGAGTGGATACATGTTACACTGCAGTGTGGTTTGGTTTATTTCGCTTTGTTCTTCCTCTAGGGAAGAATACTTGGTATAATTACAGTTACAAGCCCTTTATCAAAGATTAAGCTATGCTTGGATAAGGAAAAGGGAGTACAGAATGGCTCTGAACTTAGATCCTGCATATAGTAGTAGTTCCCCACTAAAAGACCACGTTGGCTCATTCTTTCTTTTGCATCAGAAAACTACCTAGCAAAAACTGAACTCTGCTTGAAAAGCACAATTCAAGACACAGCCAACACACTGGTCAGAATGAATAAACAGTTTATGAAGAAAGCAAAACACATTGCAAAAAGGTACTTTCTAAATTCCTCCTGTATCCCATGCACTCCTGACTTCCTTGCCAGCATGGCAGTACGAAAAGCAGAAAAGGCCTTGGCTCTGCATGAGCCACTCTGTTATTGCTCAGCAATAACAAAAACATCTCTAGATTATCAACCCTAAGTTCAGCACAAATCCAAAACACAGCCCTGCACCAGCCACCGTGAAGGACATTAAATCTGCCCCAGCTGAAACCAGCACACCAACCAAAATACTTCTGGTCTTAGTAATGCAAAGGACTTGAAGTAAAGAGTTCTTCAAACTTGATTTTTACTGAAGAAAAGTTTCCAGCCTGAAGAAAACAAAAGTCTCAGAAAGTCTTCAGAGTTTCATTCAAGCTACATAGAATCTGAGACCTCTGTCAACTTAGACAAGAGCACTACTCAAATCAAAGTAATGCAACATGTTTTGGAAACAGGAAATACTGAAAATTAAAAAGGCTATTAGAATCAAATAAACAGCTGTAAAGCTGTACCTAAAAACCAAACTCTAGAATTCTATTGCATTTTCTTAGTAGCTAATCCATAAAAGAATTGCCTGAAAATTTTGTGGTCAACACATTTTGGCTCTTTAGAAAACATGTTGTTACATGGTTCTGAGGAAGTAGAATCAAATGCTACTTAGTCAATTCCACTTTCTATACCTTTTATTTCTCATCCTAAGATTAAAAGAGAAAACAGGAAGATGGAAAGGAGCTGACAAAAATGAACATTCTTGAACACAAATGGTAGGAAAACAACTCCAGTTGTTTCCTACCATCAATAAAACTTTCCTAATTACTCTAATATATACTTCATGTCAGAAATGCTTCTATTTTTAGGATAATTTTTTAGGATAATTTTAGAGCTGCTGCTGTCTAGCAAGTTTTCATTCACTGAAGGTCTACGTTTTGTAAAATGAGACCAGAAAGCACTTTGATACTTACTAACTGTATTTCCAGATGTAAATTTCACAGATGAACTAATTTTATTTTCTTCTGGGAGATCTGATGGTTTCACAAGTAGTGGGCTAGTAGGGTTAGCGTGATCTAGATGGAAAAACAAATCTAAATAAATAAATGTATTCAAATGAGCCCTTACTTCTGATGCCAAAGCTTTACATTAGTTTTCTGCCCTTATCAAAGTGTTGCACTCAAGACTAAAATCGGTGTATTTTAACTCCGAAGTTTTACATTGTAACAGTGTTATTACTATTTTCCAGCATTGAGAGTTGTGAATCTTCACCTATTTACAAGGCCAAGGAAATTCTGAGTAAACGTGTTTTTCATACTTGTTTGTTCTCATATGTTGAAGATACTGCACATGCAGTCTTCGTGCATGAGACCTCAGCACGAGTTCCATGACTTTAGGAAATATGGGCATACAACTGCCAATGAAGACTCCACTATCCCTCAAGAAAATTTATCCAACCACTTTGCTTATTATTGACCAGAGTATTAAAAAAAAAAGGTCTGCCAATACTCCTAAATGCTGTCAGGTTTCAAAATAATAAACTCAGTATTTCTGACCACAGTAGAACAAGCTTTATTAATGCAGGTTATGATCTCCATCTTCACTGTCTCCTTCAGTGTCAAGGAAACCTCGACATTGTCCTGGAGGACCAAACTCGAATCAATATCACGATGCTCCTGAACCACCTCCAAGCAACAGTATCCTGTAGATGGTGAAATCTTCACTGTATCAAATGGCCAAATCAAACTCTGCACTTATCTGAACAGCATTCCAATTCTTAACTCAGAGCACTTCATTAATTATGGTAGCTACAACTCCAGAAAAAAGTCAGTATGTTCAAGGAAGTAAAGCCAACTCTAATTGTATAAAACTTCAATTAGCAGGAGAAAATATCTTACCACTTCCAGTTCTTTTAAGCTCCATTTCCTGCATGTGGATTTTGCTTGGAGTCATTCTTATGGGAACTGGGTGCACAATTGCAGTGTCCTGTGGAGGACATCAGAGTAAGTTAAGCTAATCTAGTTTTAAATTGTTCTATAAAGAATCTCTGACACTATGTGAAATGTCAATTCTAAACAAAACATCATAAATTTAGTTTATTTACACAGTTCCAGGGAACTGAATATACCCATAAAACCAAAGTTCTAAAAGCTGTAGTCTCTCTCATGATTTATAAGGGGTAACAGCTACTTTTAAAGGATACTAGAATGTTTCTATACATAACTGCGCTGTAAACAGGACCTGAATTCTGGCATATCAGACATCTGTTACCCTGAGCGCATCTTCAAAGAAACCCCAATTACAATTTAAAACCTGACTCCTCAGCTTTACCTATGATGCCTCAGAAAGTTATGGCCTCTTTACATAGTATGAGTAATGCTCTATGAAATAGGTGCTTCGTAGTAATTTAAGATATTTCTGGAATCCTTAAAACAGCGAAATCTTAGCTTCTATGGAATATAAGTCTAGATAGGCACTGAGCTTACACTCTTTGTAGTTCAGACAAGGGGCTCCACTGAAAGTACTTTATAGGCAGCCCTTTCAATTTGGTTTGGAGAAAGAGTGCAGATAGCTTAAAAAAAAAAATCTCACAACTCTTACGCTTGCTCCTATAGAAGCAACCTAAATATATGGTTAAAACAGCTAAGTTTTTTTATTTAGAATATACGAATGGGTGACAGAACAAAACTACCCCCAGATTACATTCTATCCTAGAAATATCAAGAAAATTCAACACTACCTTTGTATCAGAAAGGTCATCTGTTCTGACTACTCAAGCAGATCAACTTCACCAGGCATAACACATTTACACTAATAATTTCTGAAACTGTTTCAACGACTTTCAGTACTCTTGTTGCAAATATAAACTTTTAAAACCAGTTTCTAGTCACAGTTCAAACACAACTGTTGCACAAGGCTTTTAGGAATAGCTAGCACTTTAAAATATACTGCTTCCCTCCCACCCCCATAATGGGATTATCATGAAAAGATCACTGTTGCTGGAGCTACTTCAGACCTCTGATATAATCTAATGTGCAGCTAGTACAAAAATCATGTCTTGAATAGTTAAATGGATTTTTAAATAATGCATTAATTCACATTTTTAATCTAATTTTACATAAAACAATTTAACATGTTACCAACTTTCATTTAGAAAAGGCCAATTATGCTCCCATACTAAGGGATGAATGTACTGTTTTACTCCTTCCACTTATCTTTTACCTCCAAAGCAGCTACTTTTCCAACAAAAAGAGGTAAGAACTGCTCTATGAATTTACTCTTTAGACAGTTATTAACAAATGCTCAAGAAATCTGATTTTCTCTCCCCTGGAAAAGCAGGAGCTACTCAATAAATCAGTCCTATGCATCACTGTTGAGACTGCTAAAACAAGAAGCCTCCACACTGCTACTGAAAATTTGTCATTTGTTCTTATTTTAAATATGGAAAACAACGACTCTTTCCCCAAAGCCTTTTTTACCTTAGGAAGTATCAAAGATGCTCACTATTTTTTCCTAAACTATAAGCATTTCAAGAAAATGACTCAAGAATGTGATTGTCCAGTATATTTTTTGTATTTCTAGTGAATTTCTGTTTATACACACACACACACGGCTATACAGGAGTGTACATGTATACATACACATGGCTGTATAAGATTTTTCCATATATCATCACTGTTCTACTTTTCAGATTATCAACATATGAGAAAACATATGAGAAAAACTTCAGGTTTCTGTCACTTGCTAATTATGGGTAAAAATAAATAACTAACTTCTTGTGGAAACAAGACAGTGATAGCTCTTTACTCTCAAGCCATTATACATAGTAAGAAACAACTACAAACTGATTTATATCATGTTTACTTTATTAAAACATAAAAATACAGCACATTTAAAACTAAAACTATCTCAGATGAATAAGGGCTGGTTTTCACTTTAACTAGGACATTTACATTTATTTTGAATCTTTATCAAGGGTAATTCTGAGCATGGGGTACAGTGCAGTTTGAATTCTAGCATCTGGAAATGCTATTTCTGCATAAATATCAGTGTTAACTCTGAGACTGGAGCTGTGATGTATTTAAAATATATGTATATTTATATATATCTTTTCAGAAGTGACATGTTTAATACTAAAAGTAGTTAAATGTGTATTATGTACACATATTATATTTTGTTACAGAATCAAATGGACACCAACCCTGTAATTAATTAAATTAAAATGGACACAGTGGTAATTAAGTCTGTAAGAAAAACAGGATGAAAGCAGCAGCTAAAAACAGCATTTCTAATGCTTTTCAAAACTGCTTTAATGTCACATGCTGTGAAGCTTAAAACCAGCAGAACTTGAAACACTGTAGTATATTTCTGGCTCCAAAACTTGGCAAGACATTTAACTACATAATCCTTCAGAGTGCTCCTCATTGAGTAAAGCATTAGAACACCACAGGTTTAGTTGTAGAAATACTAAAAGCCTTGCTAATAAGCAACTTGGTGAAAACATTTGGAATATGAAATACCACACACATTAAAGTCCAGTATTTTTTTTCAGTGAAGTTGATACTGTCAACTCCTAAGAGTTTGTGCAAATCAGGCTCTGCAACTTGAAAAAACCAAAACAACACTGAAGACAAAATCTAAACCAGGATTGGTTTATCATTGGGAGTGGCTCTTGTATCGACTTACAAATCTTTTCAAAAACACATTATGTTTAAATGCTTTGAGTATGATAGGTTTTGACAGCAGTGTTGTATTATGTCAAAATCAAGGGGAAAAAACGCATTCTTTGCAATCAGAGATTAAACATGAGCAGTACTAGAAAATTTATATTCCTAAAATAAAGAAAAAAAGTTAAGAAACCTGCCACCATTCCCCAAAAAGCAGTCCATGGAATCATGCATAACAGATAAATACAATGAATGGAAATTCAGTGTTAATAAAATTAATTTCAAACAAGCAAGCTAAGTGATTGACTTACAGGATCAGCTGGTGCAATGTTAGAATCAAATTGGGTCAGAGTTTGTGAGCTTGAAGAGCGTTCGCTAAATGTCTCCCACTGCTGAACAGACAGAGGAGAGAAGTCAGCATGATAAGGAAGATGGGAGTAAAAGATCACTGAGGAGATTTAGCATAGTAGTTCAGAGGTTGTACTGGAAAGTACTATATTTGCACTGGACAGTACTTGACTTGGAAAGTACACTAATACATAGGTACTTCTATTTCAGCCTGATACTGTTGTGGAACCAAGATTGTTATCTGTCAATATTAATCTTTACATTCACATTTTGCAATGAAGATACAGGTGCACAGTCAGCGCAGAAGTACCTTCAGAGTTCATGTTTGCCAATGAAAATCATCCAAGTAAAAAACCTGGTTAAGCCATTGAAATACTGTAAAGATAAAAATCAGAGACACACACTGTATGGATTTGTAGTCATAAAATCCACAGAAAGGTTCCTCAGCTTGTAGCTGCCAAGTTTCAAACATATTTATTAAATGCTGATTTTCTCACAAAATCCAGACATAGGAACATTGAGCAGAGTACTCCAATTACACCAGTTCGGCTTGCCAGTGCAACCCCTGAGAAATGATTCTACGCTGCAAGAGAGCATTTTTACAAGTCTAAATCACTGACAAGGCAAAGAATTAAATTCAAACATATTGTTGATTACTAAAAGCAAATAAGTCTACCTCTGAACAATTTTATAAGATATAGGCATAGCTGCCAAGAGTCCCCATGAAAACTGAGTCAAGTTACAGCCACGAGTGGATCGAAAAAGTACAGAAGTACATAAAATTAGTCTGTGATCCGGAAACCAAATTACAAATCACAACAGGAATGCTAAACTTGTTATATTTTGGTAAATAACAAGTAAAAATTAAGTAAGTTTCAAACACTAGAAGATACAAAAATTACAAATACAGAATTTTTAGTGCTGAGAAAATTTGACAAAAATTATGTCAGTACAGTTGTGAAAACAAATCAATATTCTTGTTCCATCTGTATAGGCAAATAAATGTAAATGATTCCAGAAGATATAGGACAAACTATACAGTGTTAGTCAACCTAATCTCATGTGCTCCCATATGTGTGCTCCAAACTATATTCAGTGAATGTCCTGTATGTGAACCAAGTCTAAAACAGTTACTTCAGGAATAAGTTCTTAAAGAAATCCCTAAATAACTGTTTTCAATCAGATGAAATGAAATTCAGAAAGACTAACTAAATTTGTAACTGCTGTCACGTGTGGTGACACTTCTAGTAGAGACAGAGCCTTATCTCCTCATTTCAAACTTTAAATTAGGGCAAACAATATGGAATTCTATTCATATGGGATTTTCCTGGGGGTATTTTTTTTTTTTGGTCATTTTTTGCTGTGATTATTTTGTGCTGGTTTGAGGTTTTAGTTTGTTTGTTTTTAACACAGAAAACTATCCTCTTTCATGGACAGAATGTAACAAAACCTTTTTAGTAAGGCTTCCTAACTGCTCTGTCCCTGTTTATACTCTCTGTATTAAACAGTTCATCTCTGTGCCACTCCATCCCTTTCATGAAAAGGCAGCACTGCAAGTAGTTTGGAGCTATACAAACCAGTTGAGTGAGCCAGTTTTTACTAACTCAGAAACTTAATGGCCAAGTTCTGACAGCCTTTCCCCTGATTTGGCCTCTTACGTTTACACAGCTGCTCATTTTCACCAAATATATTAATATTTGTCTTAGGGTTACCATTACCCTTTTAAACTTGATTTGGCCAGTGGCTTCAAAGTTACTAGTGAGACTGGCAAACACACCATTTGATCACATAAATACTGTTTCTTAGTTTTTCAAAACTTGCATAGGGTATACAGCATCTATGTTACAGCTGAGATAAGTGATATTATTTGTTACAGATGATGCTCTAGTGCTTTGAAGCCAAACTGCAGATACATTTATTACTTGTCCACAGGCTCCCAAGCTGGACACAGACAAATGAACACCAACACCTCCTGACTGCTGTAGGAAATATCCTGTTGTGCTCCATCCTGAAATACTACCAGAGGCTACTTATTGCTAATTCCCTGGTTAATAGAAAGCTAAATATATTAAGGATCTGCTGGACTGCATCTCAAACTCTGTGCAAAATTTAAGAGTACTGACAGGATAAAACTCATGCTAGCTAAAACTAAAATACTTGCCTTCTAGAATTGCAAAAATGTTTTAAAAAGACTTTCAAAAGGTTAATTACTAGAAACTAAAATTCATAGAAACCTGAACGCTATGAGTACACCAAGACATTTGAAACAAGGTGTAACAATTGTGGAATTAAAAGCAAATCTCCCTATCTGTGTTAAAGCTAATATGACCATATGACACGAGACAGTTTTCAACAAAAAATTAGTAGGCTTTTCAATTTTTTTTAAGTTTCCAGAACTAAGTGCTCAGCCTTGAGACTTGGATGGAAAAGATGTCTGCAGTGAGAAAGAAGCGATGAGTGAAGAGATGAAAATGTGAAGCACGTAGTACCCGGAGTTTGGTAGGTTTTCATGGTGCTCCTTATTCTGAACTTAGAGATCAATGGCTTGGTCTATACCTGGGAGCTTACAGTAACTGAGCCTGGCAACTGGAGTCTATAAATCAACTATGAGCTACAAAGAACAGAGTAACCAACAGTTTTGAAACTAAAAGGATGAAACTGCCTGGTATGGTAGATGATCCAAAGATGCAGAGTTTTTACAAGCAATTAATTTGTTGATGACAGTTATAAGAGGTTCAAAGAGGAAACAATTCGATTGGTGCCTACAGTAATACCAGAAAATTTTCCATGGAATTAAAACCTTGAGGACTTTGATCTGACTCATGCTGAAAACAAAATGCTGAGGAGCAAGAAGCATGCACAGCAACACAGCTGAAAAACCAGAAATTCCTTTGTGTTAGAACAAAAAACCTCTTAACATTTAGTAAATGTTCAACTCTTATTTTAGTATAGTTAGTATCCAGTAGTATAGCTAGTGTGAGAACTTTTCCAAACCACTTAAGTTTTAGTAGATTTTCAGAAAGAAAATATGACATTATCTATGTAACACAAGATTTTGGCTGACAGAATTGTAATTCACTCTTTTCCACTAGTGCAATTACCCCATTCAGTTGGTTCACGTTGCATTAGACACTGAAGAAATCTGTTAAATTATGATGCAGTTTACCAAGTGATTAGCTTATTAAATCTTTATTGACAACACAAGGGAATTTATCTATGTAAATTGTAATACAGATGCAGACATTTACAGGTTTTTAGCAACAACTGAATACCTTCTCTACCTCCCTCCTAAAACATAGCTTCCTACCAGCAGTCTAAGAGTCAACTCTGTCAAACAGAGCAACTAAGAATCACTAAATAATTTCCAACCTGGCATTTGCGCTTAAGAAGACCAGACTTTAATTTAAAGTCCTTTCCTCCCAAGAAAGAACGAACGTTTCCTCTACTCATAACTTTAATCCTAAAAATTTGCTTATTTTCTGCTCCATGCTGACTTTCCTTTGGTTTGTCTAAATCTTTTATTACCAGGCTTTTATTCACTTGAACTCTAATGAATAAAGTAAAAAAAAAAAAAGCCACAAAAAGCTGTTTCAATAAGAGAAGAAGGTCATACTTGGCTACTGACAGAAATGTCTTAGATGTTAAAACAAGTTTTCAATTCTTAGTCTCAAATAATTAAAAATAGTTTTCCAAATATAATTTTATTCTTTTTTCCTTTTTTTCCCCTTCATAATGAAAAACAAGCCTACACCATCTTTATATATGGCTCCCGTCAAAAACTCATTTGAGACTCTAAAGTAGCTCTTAGAATTAAACACTGGTTTATTCTAAGTCAGAGGCAAAAAAATGTTAAAACAGAGCAACAAGAAAAATCTAGGAATCAATCCCTTACAGGCCTTTTAAAAAATAGACGTTTTGTGGAGGAAAGAAAAGATACTGTTTGCTAACTTCAGTTTGAAATTCTGACAAAATACAGCTCTACTACACAACACTGCTTATATAACAAGTATGTATGGTTAAGGATGATAAAGCAGATGTAAAAATTTACGATCTAAATAAATCCAGCCAATAGCTGATTTCAGATTCAACTTTGAGTCTGTGCTTTTGAAACAGACCCAGGGCTATGACTCTTCTGTGTTACTAGTGAGATATTTTATATTTCAGGCTAAAATCACTTACAGATATAACTCTTAATGTTCAGATCTGTCAGAAATGAATTCTGTAGTTTTGCAAAAATGTTTGCTATAAAAGTTCTTCAGAGGTAACAAAAACCCAACCAAAAACATGCCCTAAATGAAAAAATCAGAAATTAATTGGACTTTTCCAATAAATGCTATAATTTTGTGATTAATATAAAGCTTGATTACCATTAATGACAACATTTTAAATAATAGCTCATCTCACAATGAGACAGAAAAATCAGAAGGAAAACATTACCTTTTTTACAATTTGTGACATGCAGAACCTTCCTGTGTCTATTGTCCTGCTAACTTTTTCACACTTTGTGATCAACAATCCATTTATGACAAATTATGGATGCAAACACAATTTAGTTATTGACTGACAATGAAATAACTCTAAAAATAAAAGCGCTAACCTCGCTGCTCTGATTCAATTCTGGCCAGGTCTGGTTTAGGGATGGCATTGATGGAGACTTGCTTGGAGGTGCTTCGGCTGGAGAGCTGGAGTAACCTACCTCACCAGTCTGTTCCCCAACTTCTGAAAAGACAGAAATCACTATAAACCAAAATCATAAACTGCATTCAGTTTATTTTTAGAAGAGCTTCTCACATCTCATGGCAAATGCAAAGTACCCTTTTTTTGTTTTCTTTTGCAAGTAAATACTTAACAGCAAACAAAAAAAACCCCACCACTGTTCAATAAGTCAGTTAAGTCAAATACACTGTTTACCAGATCCTACTCTTATTTTAAGGATTTTTCTGAAAATTAGACTTTGCAGATTACTCTGTACCATACTTTCTCCCTGTAGTTTGGTCTTAAACTAGATTTTTTAGATTTTGATTACATATAGAATTAAATGCAGTTTTTCTTACAGTATGAGAGAATAACTTCACACTAATGTTTATTACATCAGATTCTGCACTGAGAAGTTCAACTTACAGAATAAAATACTTCCTTATATGAAAGGTCAAATCAAAACCAGTATATCAATGCAATCAGAAGACAAAAATATGAAAATAGATTAAGAAAACCATTCCTTTAAATTATTCCCCAAAGAATATTAGTTTCAAGCCTCCTTACTAAAACAGTGGCGTTTCCATTCACTACATTTTGCAAATTGAACAAGTCTAGCAGCTGACACATTGCAGATGTCCACTGGTATTCTTTAGTTTTCCCTGAATTTTCAGCAAGTACAGTCCCTTGCAGAAACACTCTTTCAGAACTGTAAAAGTTTTCATGATCCAGCACACTTATTTTTGTTCTGTTCAAACTATAAAAGAATTGGGTAAAGTAAATACATGAACAGCAGATTAAGCACTCTGCCTAACACAGTAAAATCTTGCTTATGTCTCCTATTCTACTATATACCACAATGAAAGTTAAAGCAAGGCATTGAAAGCCTCAAAAAACCTGGAAGTTCCAATTACAACCGTACAATGTAAATAACAGGAACAGCCAAAAGAGTGACTGATAGGTACCTACACATATTAACATGATGTCAGTAGTCCACAGAATTACAAACTCTGAGCAAGACAAAATACTACACAAGGGGAAAGATGGTTAAATTAAATTACCATTTAAAAGGACTGCTTCATGGGTGTGTGATTGAAGATGACTGCCACCAGAGTATGTGAAATGCAAAAACTGATGGAAATTTATAAAATGAACTGGTTTTAGGTTCCTGAAGAGCTGAACTCTGCAGCCTGCTCTTCTGCTATGACAGTTCAATATTCTGCCTGTTGATCTTCATTCAGAAGAAACTAATAACAAATCCAGTGTCAAATTCAACTGGAAACATTTGAATAGTCAATGGTAACCAATTGCATCTTTGAAAACTAACAACCCTTTATTGTCTCCAAAGAGACGCTGGGGACAACAAGAGGCACAGCCAAAACACTGAAGTACAGAAAGAAATTAATTGTGCTATCTTGAGGTCAAGGGCAAGTGAGGTACTAACATGAAAAAAGCTACACACAGAAGAAACCAGTAACTCATCAAAATTTCAAGGGTCATGCAAACTTCCTGTAAATAGCCAGACAGCAGGTTGAGATTTGATGTTTCCAAAACAGTGATCAGCACCTAGCATCTTGCACTACTGTCTTTTAGGGAAAACGGTATCATCAATTATTTCAGGCAGGAACAGCATCTAATATAGCTTATTTCAGACAGAAAGCATCTAGCAATAAAAAGTAGATTACATTAAGGTGTCATGATGTCGCCAAGTAGTCAAGCTGAAGAGCTGCAGTCATTGTCCACAAAATAATACACTCAATTCAAAATATGCCAGTGGCAGTGTTTTGAGAATATGTACTGCATATCAGTTGTTTTGAAGTGCAATAGGAATAAAATTTTTTTTTATAAGTTAAAAACCTCAAAATTCTCATTTCAATGGTGGATAACTAACTTCTAGTGTTAAACACAAAGTCAAAAAGATAAGGCTGAAAACTGTTGTGGATAGACTACACAGCTACCCGTAATTCCAGGAATTTTGTGAACATCTACATGAAACATGCAGAACACGTTCCATGGGAATCTTCAGGCATTAAAGTAATTACATTGTCTAAGACATAAAACATGGCAGATTATTTTTCTTACCAAAAAATGGCATTGTGTCAGCAACCCAAACAAAAACCAAGTCCACAGAAAATCAAAACTTGCTTTTCAAGTTTTGTAAAGGGTTGGTAGCTTTTACTAACCGAGAAAATTGAGCTTGAAGGAATTAAAATTCTGTGGAGATATGCTGCTATACCAGAAAAATGACCGACTATCCAATAGGTCTGTGTCATGTAAGAGAAGTACATATCTCTGGTCATGAAACCAGATGTTAAGACAAGGCTGTATCTTAAACAGGTTCAGAACACAGGGCCTGATGAAACAGAGGTTGCCAGAGCCAGACCAGGAAAGTTCTTCCTTCCCTCTGTCTAAAGATAGACACAGGATGCAGGGAGCTCTTTTTTCACTCTTCCTTCTGCTGACCACTAGCTCAAAAGTCAAAATGGAAAGAGACAGCAAGTTTCAAGTGCAAAGCAGAAGTGTGGAAAGTAAGTGGGAAAGCGTCTAACAAAAGAAAAGAATCAATAACAGTACCTTTAACACTTCTGAAATAAAGTTTGCCATTTCACACATTGGTTTAAAAGATATTCAAGCACTTCATCTTCTAAAACAGTCTGTACATTATCCACACTGAGCCATGTCAGCAGAAGATCATTAACAATTTCTTTCTTCGAGAAAGTTTTAACCCATGAGAAAAGTGCCCTCAAAAAGACACTCCGGTGCCACACTTTACAGTTTCTATTTCTAAGATGACTGCTGGAAGTAAGCTTTATTGAAATAAAACTTCTATGGAAACCAAAACAAAAAAACTACCAAAAGTTAATTGGTTGACCTTTCTAGACTGATTTACAGTCCATAAGAAGAACTCATACAATTTAGCCTGTGCATTAGTCTGCACATAGACCTATCAGTACCTTTTAAAATAGTAAATGTATACTGGAGATTTGAACTGTGTGTAACTACAAGTAAAACTACAGCCACGTCAGTAACTTCTAAAATGTTTTATTCAACACAGAAGTTCTGGTGATAAATCATGTATATGCTACATAAGATAGCATATCTTATGTGCCCAAATAAAAAACAAAATTATTAAAAAAAAATCTAGTTAATTGGATAAAATCCCACAAGTTTGCAAGAACTATCACTTTTCATTGTAGCTATTAATAATGGCAGAATCAAGTATCAATCAGATTTTTTTTTATGCACAGTTTACATAGCAAGGTAACCGTTTATAATTCACTAGAACAGGGTAACTTCCCTTTAATACCAGAGGGAAAAACTTTCAAAAGTAGTTTTTCCTCAGATTTAAAGACCATTTTGTACCTCATGAAAGTAAGTCAGAAGTTTTATATTAGCAAAGTTGCCTGTAAAATAAAGGCAATAAACATACATATGACACTTTTTGTTTGAATGCCTGATGTATAAAGTTTCCAGACAACTTCAGTTGAAATCCATAAAGGCAATAGAAGATCAGGTACAAATATAATTGTTGTGTGGTTTGGTTTTTTTTTCCTGAACAATAACAGTTTATACAAATAAATGTTACTTCATTTCCTACCAAGATTTTTGCTTGGCCATTATCTTAACACAAAAATAGACAGAACAGGGAGGTTTTAGACATTTGCTAGGTATTCACCCAATTAACTGCAGATATTTCTTATGAATGTCTTCATCATAGCAAAATGCTTACTCATACTGAAAACCCTTCAGTCCCAGCTCTTTGAAGAGCCAATTTACTCCCATTAAAAATGGTTTCATTATTAAAGCATACATAATAAGAGCCACAGTATCTAGTTTAAGAACTCACTGTAATTGCGAGATTAATCTTTGACAACCTACACAGTATGAAGAGACTCCCTTTGAAATATTTAGTAAAAAGAAATAAAACTCTAGTAAATTCTAATAATTGTGCACCCACAATACAACCTGACTTTCCAAGCAAAGACTGCTTGTTAAAAAATAATCTAAAGTATTTTTAAAATATTCGGTTTCCTTTATCTATTTTAAAATAGAAAAAGATGGTCACAAACATACTGTTTTTAAACACCACTCTTACATGTAACAGTAGTCTGTTTTGCAGTTATGGGACTGATGTTTTGGCACATATTAACAAGTAGAACTCACACATTCAACAGTTTATCTGGGAGCACTCAAAGGTAAAGGACTGCACACAAATACAAGGTGCCAACACAATGCAGGATAAACAAGCTGTCAAGTCAGAAGTTGAATTAAAAAAATTTTTTAAAAAAATTAAATAAAAAAAAAATACTGTCCTACCTCTAGCATTGAATCTGGGAATATTTTCTAAATACCTCCAATAGTCATGCCATATTTTCACAAACTAAGGTGAAGAAAAAGCATATTCATTTGAAAGTAAATCTGAAAACCTCAGCTGGGAATTTGGAATACAATAGTTGGTCATGAATAAAAATCATAGTGTGACAATTTTGTTTTCCTTAACCTTTAAAGGCCAGTCAGTATTTCTGAATGTAATAGTGAATGTGTACTGTTCCTAAATAACTTCCCTGTACAGAAATACATACATGCTCAAATTAGCTCTGAGCATTTATTAAGCCTTCTAAAAATTCACACTGCCTTACTTCATACTGACTAATGCTTTATGCTCATACAAACAAATACCTGCTGATGCACTGTAACAATTACACTATAATTTTAAAATAATGAATTTTGTGTAGAACTATATCTTACCTGTTGAGTCTTCCAAATCAATCAGCTTGGGCATTAAACTTTCCGGTAACTTTTCCGGCAAATCATACCCATTCTTCCTAGCAACTACCAGGTGAAATGCAGCACAGAATTCATCCAATGTCAGTGCACCATCCTTATCAAAATCTGACAGTTCCCTAAGAAGAAAAACTTGGTATAAATAAAATTTCTTAAGGTTATTTTGTTTCCAAAAAACATATCTCTGCTCTGCTATTTAGAAGATCAAAGAATACAGTTTATAATTCATTTTACCCTATTAAACCTTCATATTAGTGCTACATGTTTTACTCTTCAAAGATGATGAGCTTTTATTAATAACAACGTACAGATCATTTAAAACCACTTTTACCTCTCCAAATTTTAAACTCATTTAAGACACTACTACACAGTATTATTGGCCTCAGATTTTTGGCAAAGTATACTACCCAAATTACAGTGCTGAGGCAATGCAAATTATTTTAAATGGGAAAATACCTGAAATAGAAATCGTTACACTGAAAGGAAGATAACATCTGCCAGTGTAAGCCATTTAATGATAGCATGCAGTGATGCAGTACAAATTCCAGAATACAATGAAATAGAAGGTTTGCACCAAGTCAAAGCCAAATTTTGTCATCACGTTTCACAAAGGCCATTTAAAAATATTTGCATGTTTCATTTAAACCTACTTAGAAATAAATAAATCAACATAGATAAGGAATTATGTAAATTTAAATGAATTTTTAACAACAAAATCTCAAATAAATTACTTCTAACTCCGAAGAGTCTTGAATTTACTCAAAGTGCCTTGTCAACAGTGCCAGCCTACAACCATTAAAGCCCACTAAAGTAATACTGGCATAAATATGAGCAGGACTGAACATACTAGAGTACTAGTGAAATTGTACTTAATAATACTTTACAGTAGGTAGATTATTAGGTAGAGAGAGCTACCAGAGAGCAGTCCTCTTTCTAAATAATTTTTATGAATAATTATTTTAACTAATTATCATACTTACCAAATATGAGAAAGTTCAGGAATAGGTAGTTTTGACTTAGTGAAAAATTCTTTAGCTGCAGATCCTGAAAAATGGCAACAACCATTTTTAATATTCAAGGCAAGTTAAATCATTAGAAGACTTAGGCTTATTGTAAAGATGATCTGTTATTAAGCAAAGGTTTTGGGAAAAATGGCACTAATTACTAGGGTTAACCAAAGGGAAGAGGCAAATTAGTTTCTAGTCCTTCTTGAATTACATTGAACTATACTAGAACATCAGCCAAATGCAGAACTTCCTTCAAAATAGTATGCAAACCTACATACAAAACAAAATCGTTTTAACAGAACAGATGCACCCACAATTATATTTGTTTAAAGAATAACTTACCTGGTATAAATCCATTTAGATCAGGTTGAATGGTTTTAAACTGATTAACATAATACTGCCTTTGTTCATCAGTTATTTTCCAGGGGTCATCATAACTACTTGATTGCCTACGAATTTCATTTGTTGTTGTAGCTGATGCTACAGTTCGTACTGTTGTCTGGTCCTGAAATGAAATATTTTTCCTCAGTATTATCTACCTAAAATGCTTCTACGAATTCTCAACTTCTTGCCTTCAAAAAATAAAGCATAGTTAAATCTCGCAGTAGTTTAAAAACTGCAGGAAACCATTGGCAGATTGCATCTACAGGATAATGACGGGGTATTTTTGCACACTGATACATATGGAATGACTGCAGATATGTAAGCAGAAAAAAAATATGGCACACGTATAAAAAGCTAAATATAAATGTTTCAAAGCTCATAATTGTTGACATTTTTAAAGTTAGTAGCTTTTATTTAACCATTCCAAATGAAGTCAACTCAATGAAACAAGTATCTGTTGGGCAAAGAGCACTGAATAGACTATAGCACAGATACACAGTAAACATCTGCAATGACAATTATGAAGAAAAATAACAAAAAAAAAAAAAAAAAAGGATTGCAACATCAACCTGAATGAAGCAAATCAAATACCAATAAAGTGTCACACCTGGACAGAAGCAGGATGCATGGCTAAAAGAGCACTGGTTGGTGGAGTATCTGCAAAACTGACCCAATTTTCTTGATGGGGTGGTGGTGAATGGCCAGACCATATGGGATCACTAGAAGTAGATGAGCCTGAAAGTAAAAGAAATATTTCCTTTTCAAAAAGACAGTCTCAGAAACCAAGAAAGAACTATGGGTATGGAAATATCTCCTGTCAGGGAGATATACTCTAGAATGATGAAAAAAAAAGAAAAACCAAATTACACCAAGGTGACAAAGTTTGCCTCCTGACAACTCACTCCCGTAGATTTTTGCATTAGGTCAGCTTCAATCTGCACTAAAAAAGACAGAACTAAGGAATGAGTTTATTGCAAAACATGTAAAATGGAAATAGGATTTTGCCCGTTTAATGGGTTTGAATGAGTTAATTAACACTCCACATTTTCATTTAATTGAAATAAGCAACACTTGTATGGACAAATACTATTTAAAAGTGAGATATGATATTAGCGTTCAACTTCATTATCATTAAACTTATTTTTTTAGATTTTAGCTTACCATTCAAGGAACAAAGTCTTGGAAATTCTTTTAAAGAATCAGCCTTTTTGGCACAGTTAATTTTTTTTCTACATCATTTCTAGATTAATTTAACTCAGTTGCTTAAAAACAGGTCAAGAGTAATAAAAGGTATCCATGTAGAATGGTGACATCTGCTATGTATTAAGTATCTGGAACACAACAATTGACATTCAACCAATGCCTTGCTATAATCTACTTCTGAAGTACTGTCAGTGTTCAACGTCTTAATATTAAAATAACAATGAAGTAACTACAGAAAGATTTGGCCATCCACTGCTCTATGTACAAAACTATTAAAAATATCTTAAATTGTAGTTGCAGATTAAAAATTTAAGGAACTCTGATGAGAGAAAAAACCAAACCATTTAGAATAAGTCTAGCAGAATCCCATTTTATTCTTTGATTCATAAAAGAAATTATAAGCTCCTTAAATCTAAACAGTTGTGAAACTGATTAATCTACTGTTCTTGCACAGTTAAATGCTTTCTCTTGAAATATATTAAATGAAATAATCTAATCATTTGTATAATATATCTATGTAATATCTGGCAATATGTAATTACTCTTTCATTCCATAAATAAAATGTAATAAGAAAAATGCTTAGAATCGGTTTATCTATGCCCTTCTCCTACATAAAATAGTCATAATTGTGCAGAGCACATTTAATCTTGCATTACATTGAGTAAAAAGTAACATCTGCATGAGAATTTCATCAAATGATTTTTTCTTTTCAATTTAGCTTTACTATGATAAAAAGGCTCTATTAACTACTCCTTTTGTCCCAGATTTGTCCACCACTTTTGGAAGCTTCTGATGTGGGCTGGAGCTTCTAGTGACTTTATTCAGAAGTGCTGAGAATAAAGGCAATGAGTTTTGACAATGAAGTTCTTCTTCAGTAGTTCACCTAAGTCTCAAACACTAGAAAGGTATCTAGAGAAAAGCTCAGTCTCTTTCTGCCTGGTCTCTCTCAGCACAGCACAAATGGACAGTTAGATGTAGACAAGATCTTTCCTACCTCTCCTGTGGATATGCCACACTCAAATTTTATTTGTGATACAATGGCTTTACCCTTCTCTGCCTCTCAGACACCTGACACTACCCCTAACCTTATACATGTTTACTCCTCCTTCACTTCTCCCAACAACATGTCTTGGTACAGTTCAATTCATATCCCACTTAGCCGAATTTCTCTTCCAAAGCAGTACCCTGACAGCAATGGAGATGCCAGTAGCACCAAACTGTCACACCTTCAAGAGTAGTCTACAAGTACTACAAGGATTGTTTCCTTTCTCCCCTGTTCAAATAACCCCAACAAGAATATTATTGCTTTACTGTTCCTGTTATTCATTCTGCCATGCAACTTTTTAGGACACAGGATGGGGTGGCTGAAGAACACTTTCTTTCTCAAACTACAAAACCAGACTGTTTCAGAGATGGAAGAGAAACTGGAAGAAAACTCAGTCACAGAGAAGACTTGAAACAATCATTGTATTTTTATTTTATGATTTGTAACCCAATGAAGAAACAACCTTCAAAAGTCTCTGTGAATTTTCATCAATAAGAACACCATTAACAACACTTTGAATGAAGAGTAAGCCTAAGACCAATTATCAGATTTGAACTAGCTGGCAAAGTCTAATGGCATATGTTTAGTACAAAGACCTAACAAATTCCCATTGCTGTGCTGTATCTTCCTCTAGCTTGAATATTTTACCAACACATTGATAACTTGTGGAAAATTATCTCATTTCCTAGAATAAAAGTTACCCTCTCACTTTAAGATACAAATACAAGTGTAAGAAATGTTCTTTCTTGATAATACTTACTTTTCAATAACTATACAAATACAGGTTTACCTACAGAGGACCAAATTTTCAGTTAACTTTGTAAACTAGCAAGAGTTCTCCTTACCATCAACCTGTGATGAGACAAATCCAGAAGCTCAGTACAATTTTGACAATAAGATAAACTGCTGTAGAGCTCTCACACCCAGGTAAGAGTAATCCATAGCTTGTAACAAGGCTAATTATCATCAGCTACTGAAGGAGTAAGGAGGAGACAAAGTACTATTCAGTCCCCTGCAAGCCCAGTAAATATCTTACGGCCTTAAAGGTGCAACTGAACTGCTAGCACAGACATGTTCCACTTCTGTCCCTGAAGTGTTCATGAACTGCTACAAAATCTCTCCCAAAGAGAAAAGAAAGAAGTGTGTCTTTGGGCTGCAATTTCTCATACATGTTCAGACACCAACACAGAACTCTGATGTAATGGCAAAAAAAAACCTAACAAGTGTCCTATGACAAAAGAGAAGATTTTTTTTTAGTAGTTTGAAATCATTATTTGGATACTACCAACATAAATGTTCTGCTTTGTTTCCAGTCCAAACAGACTATAAGGTAATAAAAATAATTTCTAGTCCCTATTCTGACATGCCACTCATGTTGAAGTGGGGAAGGGATTCTTTCTCCCAAGTTTGTCAACATCAGCAACCTTCTAGCTGCTGAAGCTGTAGTGCAAAATGAGCTGAAAAGGTAAAAGTATGGAGTATTTTGGGTTTTGCTCTCTTGTAACTATAGGAACAGGAAGCTTTCATTTCATATGCAATTCTGCTTCCTACAAGGGGTTCAGTCATCTACTGTATTATTCTGTGAAGATGGATCCAATCCACATCACAGATGCAAGTCAGAACTGGGACATAACATCATGATTTTTTAACAGCTTTATCTTAGACTGTAAAATCAAAGACACCTGAAAGACTTGAGACACTCAGGTTCTAACAGAGTTGACATTTAAGGACGAGACCTGAACTAACTTTAAAACATTCTACACAGGTGATCAATGTCTTCCACTGAACTTTCAATTCCTGACGTTGAAGTAAAATATGTGCACCTTTTAGGGCTCTCTTTCCAAAAAGCCTTGAAGAAAGATGGCAGCAAGCCTTGGCTTCTATTTCTTAAGTGTAAGCACACTGAGCTAGCTGTGACAGTGCCTCAGAAACCAGTTACATATGAAGCATCACTAACACTATCCTAACTGAATTACTGGACAACACAGTGACAAAAAATTCTAAACGTACATTCTTTTGTTCTTTTGAGATGAGAACAAGTTTTCTTCTTTAAGAAACAGAGAATTACAGCTGTAAGTTATGCTTAGGACTTCTAACGTAATACCAGGTGTAAGATTTTTAAAACAAACAACTGAGTTATTATCTAATCATTATTCTACAGTCCAATTCAATAAGGAAAGCACTGTAACTTTGTTCATAGTAGGAGTATGGTGATGCAATGGAGTCTTAACTCAGTAAAGTCAAAATCTTTCTGTGTAAATACATCGTTCTCCAAACAAAAAAAATAAGTTTTGATTTTCACCCTTCTGGTTTAAAGCTACATGCTGTTTATTGTATGACCCACCAGAAACATTTTCACATTATTTCAGTTGACAACCCCATTATGTGAAATAGTGTTTGAGAATAAAGTGAAATACAAGCAGAGAGACCTGGGCTCTTATTTTTCTTGGATCACAAGTGAAAAGGCATAGTCCTACTGAAATGATATCACACATCTGCAATTCACCTGATTTCTCAAAAGCATCTTGCACTAGAATCAAGATGAGTTTGCAGTGCTGACTGTAAGAAAAGTAACCAACAGCCTATCTGGTTCTATCTCAGTGTCATCAGAACATGATTTTTCTACAAACACTATCTTTAAAATGCCCTCTTCCCTCTAGAGAAGAAAAAAAATTATGAACTGCCTACAACAGCTGAAGTTCAAAAGAAAAATTAATCATCTTCAGTGCAAAAGAATCACCAACAGTAAGTTAGGATGGCAATTTTTGTTAAACTAATATATGAAAATTTGCTTTATCCTTAGCATTGGAAGAACAGATGATCCTTCTTTAACAGTATTTTCAAATTACTTTAAACACACTATGAATGTGTTTCAGTATGCAATGTAAAACTAGGGAACACTGAGCTAGTTCAGAAATATTTTCAGACTACTAGTGAAAGACTTATCTATTAAACATCACCTGGAAAGCACTGCCAAATTGAAATATTAACATGGAATTACAGCTTTAGCTTTAAGAGGTCAGTACTGAACTCTTCAATGCCAGGAACAGTTTGCATACTGTCCTGGAGTCCTTGACTGTAAGTTAGAAAAACTTTGCAAATTAAAATCAGCCACTAGACATATTTGTATTTCAGCTTCCAAGAAACACAAATTAGTTAAACTATGGAAGAAAAGAAGTTGAGAAATTGAGTGCTGAAAAATAACAATGCTCAGATTGAACTCTTAGAAGTCATATACGCAATGCCCACACTAATTTTTTTTTTTTTTTAAATTCTAAATTGACTGGCACTTACTAGCAAACAACATTGGTATAAATCTCTGCATACAACCCATTTCATTTTGAAAAAGTTTTATTTTCTTATCCAACTAATTTTAATAACAGAATCCCTGGTCCTCCATGGATGCTTGCAACTACAGAATGACAGTAAACTGAAAGGCATCAGAATAACTTTGGAATACCATAACTGAACTAAGTCAAGCAATCACAGTTCAGTCTCAAACCACAGACCGACAAAATGCAAGATATCATTTAGCGTTAGAACCTGAATTACAAGTGCTCCACTGTTCCCAAATTTATTAAGTCAACTAATCTACCAGAAACATAATTCAAACAAACTATACATTATCTGCTGCCTTCCCTTGAGTTCCCAGTGTTTTCAAGTATAACGACAGTTCCTGCACAGTTTCAATAGGATTATCAGTACTTGTATCAAAAACCTTCTACTGGAAAACTTAACATATTTTAGTTCCCTCCCTCCAAACCCTTAGCATATCCCATTTGACACTGAGAAATGGATCTGCCATATTCAAGATCCCAGATTCCACAGTGCTGTCATCAGCATGAACACCTGAATCCACAAGAAAGTTTTCAGGATTGGAAAAATATAACGATAAACTGCCCTAAACTCATTTACTATATTTATTGAAGAATTCCACAACTTTGTGTTACAGCTGAAGCATAATATAAGATGTTTATACCTGGTTGTACTTCACTAAATGGAGCCCAAAAAGGCCCAGGTCCAGCAAGAGGTCGTTCATTATTCCCTCCGCTGGGATGGCGGTTGTGCTTCCTCCATGTATGTGGAGAGGTTGGTGGGGATTGCTGTGGTGAAACAACTGGAGATGTGGACTCCTAATAAAACAAAGGAATCTTTTAAGTTTTTTCTAAACCACCAAGTACATAAAAGCCTATCTAAAACCATTATTTCTAGAAACAATCATCACTTCAGTTAAACTCTCATTTCAGAGAGTGAAAATTTTAGTACTTATTAAAACAAGAGAACAGAAGTCAGGTACAGTATGACTGGGAGTGGACATGTTCACTTCAAACAACATCATCTAATATGTTCTTAACTTGGCATTCTTAAGACAACAGCAGTGCCGAGTTAAATCACTTAGCTACAAAGCAAATTAGAGACTCACTTTCACTTGTGATAAAAGTTGCATCTAAAACCAGGTCTCAAAACAAAAAATTACTTACTGTACAACTTATTATCATACCTAATGTTCATCAAGTAATTCACAATCAGTTGCTCTCATTTAAAAAACAAACCAGAATTAAGCATTGGGGGGGGGGGCTGGGGGAGGGAATCACCAGACACGTTTATTTAATATGTAAAAACATTGATGTAATTTTCTCTGCTCTACAAATTACAAAGTAATTTTGCCCTGATGTTAAGAATCACACTTCTCTTTAATTCCATAGTGTACTATATTCTTCCTGAACAGGTAGGAGAACAGAGAATCACATGTGCAGTTTCTACCTGGAATCAGTTCTCATGAGACACTCAGATTACTAGATCATTCCATTTCAAATAAAATACAAAGGAAAAATCGTTTATATTGTACAAAGCAAAGTATTTATGTAGTAGAAAGTAATTTCTTCCCTATACCTAGACCTTTTGGAATTCTTGTTTGCCAGTTCTCCCTGTTTGAGCTAAACTGTGCTAGGACAAACAACAAGAAAGTAAAACTTGAACTCCGAATATCCTTAAAAGTAAAAACGAAGCTAAAATTCTCAATACTGTTTCAGCAGTAGACAAAAAGTTTGCTATTCTGTGTCAACAACTGTTAACATATTACCAAGTCCCAACAGACAGATTGATCCTAGGCTTCCACACCGTTCCCGAGTGAACTGGCTTACTCTTTGGAATATCCTAAGACCATTATGCTTTTTAAATAACATTACATTTGCAAGAGTCTAAAAGTCAGCAACAGGGTTCTATAAACACGCTTTTCTCCAAGCAAGGTACATTCTAAAACCACCCATGTCCTAACAAAAGAGCTTTAGGGCAACAATTAGTTACTTTCTAATGTGTTGATGTAAACTTTTACCTTTTGTTGCCCTCTGATTTTCATATTTCCTGGGAAACATGGCCAGCCTGGTTGATTCTGCAACTGAAGTATTTTCTGGAAGTTATGATCATTGAGTCGGATTTCTTTAAATAAGTTTCTATGCCACAAGATTTTAAACTTTCCATTCAAAGTATTTCAATGATGCCCATATGTACTGGCAAAGACTATTACAAAATGGCTGGGAGCAGCACTAATTCACTTCAACTTTTAATTCAGAAACTAACTCTGATACCACACAGAATTAGGGAACAGATCCATCATGACGACAGATTTACGCTAGAGAGGGTAATTGCATTGCAGAACCCATGTTCTGTTCTTCAGAATGACTACTAGTTGATTACAAACAGCTCAAGGTTCAACAAGAACTCTAAATGCAGCACCACACATCTTTCAAGAGAGAGTGTGTGGTTCAGCCAATTACAAACTTGCTGGTCTGATCCCAGCAGCTTGAAAGGTTTTAGATTAGATTTCTGAGGAAAATAATAATTACAACAGAGACAAATGAAAAAGGATCAATCACAGCGTGAGAAATTTTACTCAAATTGGCTGACATTTTTGTGATTTTCTAGAAAAAGGAATTGTGCTACATTTACCCTGAAGCTCAGCATACCTCAGTGGGGTGTCATACAAGAAAGTTACAACAATGTGGAGATTAATACAAGAATCTAAGGTGTAAAAGAACAGAAGGCTACAGAAGGAAAAATGCTGCATTGTATTAGAATGGGAACTATGAGATTGAAGGGATGTTTCTAATAATGCTCCTGAATGACTGATTCAGGTAACAAACTCATTTGATACTTTAGGTAACTGATTATGCACACTAAATAGCATGCTGATGCATTCTGACAGCAAATGTAAGGTGGTAGATGGATGGATCCCTTCTAGGACATAAGTAACAATAAGCTACCAAATTTTAAAACGTAAAACACAGTTTCTTGCATTATGAAAATTAATACCAAAGGGTATAAGGAGAAGACTGGATGCACAGGTCAACTATCAGACCCCTACAATATGTCAAGTATGACAGATTTGCTTTATTCACAGATGCCAAGGTATATCAGATAAGATATATCAAGAAGAAGTAGGGAAGAACCCTACAAAATACTATTAATAGTGGTGAAATATCATTTGGAACAAGAAATGCAAGTGTAAAATATTTTCAATAAGTACAAATTCAAATTGGATCACAGGCAGAGAAGGATTATGAGGATTACTAGTAACTATGAGATGAAACTGAGACAACAGATTGTTTTGTCTTGTCAAGCAAAACAAAGCTGAAGTGGAATGCAATAGTTTTAAAGTAAATACTGGCAGAGTTCTGCAGCAAGTACTAGCGACAAAGCTGTTAAAAGAACAGGTTGAGCTAAGTTAATTGGGAATTCACACAGTATTCCCATGGATATTCCACTGTATTCCTACTAAGGCTCTGGAATAGTTTTCCCCAACACAGTCAGTGTGAATAAAAGGTTGTGATTTCACGAGAGAACTCTGATTTTTTCAAAAACTCATGACCAAATACAATTTCTCGTAATAATGGAGGGTTCGACTAAATTATATATGAGGTCTTTTCCAGTTCTGTGCTCCTAAACAATTTATTTAATACCAGATAAAATGTATCTGGTATTACCTGTTCAATCTACAAAACAGAACTGAACAGAAATTGACTACTGGAAAAAGCTTAAAAGAAAATAACACTACTTTTCATATAGTTAAAAACGTTGAAATGATCAAATTCTGACTGCTATAGGTGGCAAATTTGAGCTGTCTCCTCCTAAGGCTGCACTAATATGGCAATAAATCAGTATCATCTGGAGTGCCAGTAATATGCTTAATGCACACATAGATAGATGAGTACCTTCAGCTTTACCTTTTATTTTCACCTGGACACAGTAAGGTTCAGCCTATGAGCATTTGCCAGATACATGCTTTTGAGTGTTAGAGCATCAGTATCTATTGAAGCCAGATACTCCCCTTTCCTGGGAAACAGGTGAAAGTATCCTAAAGCAGTACCTGATCAACATCTGGATCATACTTAATGACACTGGAAAAAGTATTTGCTTTTCGGTCTTAACAACAAAACATAAAATATTCCTGATATTGAGAACATTTAGTCACTTGTAAGCTACTTTAAGAAGACAGAAAATTCTTCCTAATCTCAACATTGCTACTTCTTCAAGAAAATTTGCAGTACATAAACATTTTTAGTAGCATAGCTGCTACTATTAAGGTACAGAAATATATATATACACACTGTGGTAACATATCCACATCACCAAAAGTGCTTGTATAGATGTCACATTGTCACCAGAAGTGTTCAAATCTACTTAGCTTCTATTTTTAAGGAAGAAGAAAAAAAAATATATTTTCATCCATTGTTTATCTTCACTAGGATGTGCAGTCAACATGCCATCCAGTGAGTGAAAGCATCTTTCATTATTCAGTTTGACTCCTAGAATCAGTTCTGCAGCTTCCATGACAGCTGGGTGTGACTTCAGTCATCTTCTGATAACACTAACAATATTAAAAAGATATAAACTCCTGGTCAGTGCTATATTTGCACAATACTTAGCCATTATAAACTAAAAACACTACCATAAAAATGGCTAGGGACAGAAAAAGGTATTTGTGATGACCTAATTTATAGCTACTCTTTGGAAACAACCTGACTGCCATTTCCTGATGCCTTGCCTCCAAGTGAAGTTCACTGAGAGGAACTGCCAAAATAATGCATTGTTAAGAAATAGTTTTAGCCAGCACATTTCAGTAGACAATATACTAAGGGAAATTCTTCTGAATAAATTATTTACAGTTATAAAATGATATACTACACATGACAAATCTCACTAATATGGAAAGCTGGACATAAATGAACCCTGTTTTAAAGATGAAGATTAAGATACCTTAAAATTTCATACAAATAATATTTCAGCCACAGTATTTTAAGAAATCAATGTACTTTCAAGTGTCAGGCATATTATCAAAGCCAGTAAACACTTTAAGAAAAAAAAACAAAAACCCAAACTCCCTAAGGAAGTATCTAACAGATACTAACAGATATAGATAAGTTCCAAAAGGGAAATATCCAAGCTTAACTGACATATTCCTCCAGAAAAAAGTTATCCCTAGGAAATGATACATTGTTATTTACTTCTCAGATTTCAGCTCTTTTCATCCTCATTGCTCAAAAAGGTGGCATGAGAATTCAGAATCTGAAACTCTCCTAGATTTTATAAATCTCAGTGGTATCTCCAGGTAAAGACAACTGAATCAGCAATTTCCATAAAAACATGTATAAAGTTGTACCCATCTTTTGGAAAATAACCCAATTAGAGCACTTACATGGTTAAGTGAGAAACCTGGGCTCAAGCCCCTTTCTCAGCTTGTTTCTAACATGGTATCTAAATCAGTAAGTATAATAACTGGGACAATAAGGCTGCTTGAATGGGTTCATTGTACAGTCAGAAATGTAGCATGAGCCACAGAACATGCAGTTTTACAGTAGGGTGCAAAATCAGACAATACTTCCCCGATGTTCTAGACCATAAACACAGCTTAAAACTGCTGGACTCAATGCTGTGTTGTCTGTTACATTTGTTCCAAGTTCTGTTTTCTGGGCCAGATCTCTCAAAGGGCTTATACAGTTTCTTTATTCCTATGATCCCATACAGACTTATGTGAAAGATATACCACATTGCTTCTACCAGCCAAGATAGAGAAATGAAATTTGGATGCTCATACACCTTTGTAAATATGTGGGGTTTTTTAACCTTATCTTGAAGACCTCAAACACCAGATTTTTTTGTTGTTATTTTGAAATTACACCACTACAGACTCCTGTATCAAATTACAGTTGTTCACTAAATAAACTCAACATCATGATGGAAGCTTACAAAACACAGTTTCAACCAAACCAATTTCTGCCCTACCATCAGATCACAGAAATCTGTGATTCCTGATTTCTTCATGAAGTGCTTCGAAGCTCTCTCAAACACACCTCCCAGAACTAGACAACAAAAAGCTATTTTCAGACCTACTGCCAGCTCTCTTTCATTATAGTCATCTTCCCTTTGGGAGAAACAAAGTGGCAGATAAATACTGATTATGGATTTCCTTTAGTAATTTACTTTTTCTTTATACTGGATCAGTCTGGGCTATTTCCATAGAGATGAATAAATGTTTATGAGTGATTCTTTGATTCCCAGAGACGCTAAGGGACATTTGCAAGTTCCTCGATTCTTTACAAAATAAGCCCAGAAAAAAGTATACCATAGGGAAGAAAACAGGTCATTCAACATACAGAGCAAAATTTAGCATTTGTATTCAGTTCTTGCTTGTGGAAAAGACAATCAGAAAGTATCTCCCCATGGAAAAAGAGCATAAAGACTGTAAATCCAAGGAATTATGTATGAGGTGGCACAGAGTTGTAAGCCCTTACAGTTTTCATTTATTCAGATATCCTGCAGCTGAGGACGAAAGAACCAGTGAACAAAAAGAAATCAGTTTTCTTCTTATTAAAACACAATAAAAAGCTATGTGAAAACTTCTGTCTGTTATTTCTGGTTCTCATTGTCTCTACGTAACAAGTAAACAGCTGAACAATAAAATGTAAAGCAGAGAAACGCAACTGTGAAAATTTAAAAAAATTTTCTAAATAAAGTATTTCAGATTTACATGTATTGGAGAATGCTGAAGGATTAGAAATCTGGTCTTCCATGGGACTCAGTATCACTGTTCCAATGACCAGGAAACTGACAGGAACTACTTAATAAATGAGCTACTAGTATCATAATGATTACAACTTGATATTTGCCATCATACCTTAACACACTGATTTTCTTTTCTGTCTACACTCTATGTCCATTACCCCCAATATTTTAAACACAGATTATAAGCCTTCATTAAAAATGTCTCCTACATGCAAGTGTTTCAGAGGCATCTATGGTCTTCATGTATAATATATAACTAATTTGTTTTGAAAAAGAAACTATATTGAAAGCAACAAAGCTTAGAAGCCCTATCAAATTGACACGAACAGAGCAAAGTAGTGATTAAGAGCCCCATTTAATCTTTTAAGATAATTTACCTGTTGATCAGTTGATGTACGCTGCTGAACTGCATCATGGCTCACAGAGCCTTTTTTGACTTGTATCCTGCCAGGTGGAGGAGGAGGAATCACACCTGAATACGAAGCTGGGTTATCAGCATCTGAAGAATACAAGGCTGTGTGTCTTGATTCTTGTTCATTCTTTGATGCAACAAATCTGGGAAGAGGGAGGTCCTTTACTGTTAAAAACAAAATACAGCAGGCCATTTACTATATATGAGTATGATGCTTAAGAATAAAAATGCAGTTCTATTTTAAAGTTAAAAGTTTCACATGTGAACCAATTCCTTACACACAGAGACTGAGCTAGTCAAGCCAACACCTGGCAACTGGAAAAATTCAAATACCTATTGTGCATTATACTTCATGACCCTGCTACCCAAGTTCTGTCTTTGGTATACAAAGATGACTTCACATAGCTCCACAACAGTTCTGACAACTGTGCATTAAATGCAGCAGCAATTAGAAAATCTGGATGTAGCTCATTTTTTCTTAGCTTTCCCAACATCTCATTACTCAAGTGTAATTTTCCAAATTTATCTACTATTTCTAGCACCTACATAACACGTAACTAAACAGTGAATCACAGCCAGTCAAAAAGTGAAAAAGTCATTGTATACAAGTGAAAATTTTTATGTTCTCAAAACATGGAATAATACAGACACTGAATGATCCAGAGGGAAAGTTTACGTAACCAGCTGTTCCAACACAAGACTTTGGTGTGAGTTCTCTAGCACAATTTCACAAAAAAACAGAGGACTCAAAAGAAACACAAAATACTCTATTGTCTTCTTTAAAAACAAGATTACATAAGTATAGGTTTGTTTAGCTGTACTAAGTTCCTACATGCTAATCTGTTCTCTGACTTTTCTTCCTAACAGTAGAAAAACCTCATTTCAACACTACAGCATTTGTTACCCTTCAGAAATCCCTCAATTATAAATGTGATAGCTGTTACGAACGGAACTAACGCTTGCTAACGAATAAATTAAAACGTTCTCAATACTTTTTATGCCCACATCGTTCCTAACATTTTCTTCCACCATAACCAGCATTCCATACTTGGAAAATAAATATTACTTTGAAATACACATTGCTCACTGATGTCTCAATTTTCAGCTTCCTTCGAAGGAAAATTTTCTGGGACAGCAAAGGAACAACAAGCTTTAGAGGCTCGTAGTATAATAAGTATGCCAGTATTCTTATTGTACTGCATATCTAAATAATCAAAAAAGCACACACTTAAGAATTAACTGGACCACACTTATGTTTGACTTAGGATTCAAAATTTGACTGAGTTTCCATTCAGCAACTCAGATAAAGCAAGCTTCCTGTCCACTGAAGAGATACACACCAAAGAGAAAAAGAGATGTGAAGGGGAAAGAAAATTCCAAGATAAAAGAGTGAATAAAATTAAGAAAATCAATAAACATACATCAAATGAAGAACTAAAAGGTAGATATTTACAAATATAAGCTTTAACTAATTTAAAATATTTTACTTTGAAGAGAGGGAGTATACAGTTTAGTTTCTGATGGCTCTAACAGTTCCTCTTCAAGACATCTAGAAATGGACTGTAGGGAAAAGCCAGTTTTCAAGGGAAGGGAACCCAAGTTCAGAATCATTTTATGACTCCTCAGCCTGCTGCATTTTAGCTGTTACAACAACACTTGAATCATTCTAGAAGCAGGAAATTCATAGATAGGACTGGAACCACTGCAACCAAGGCAACAGACCATAGCTAAAAACAGTTAGTGTAAAAATAAATGTTCTGTCTACTGTACTTGGTGTATTTTAGTAGGTTTCAAACCTCTTACACAAAATTGTTCCTAGAAATCCAGAAATCATTACAAGTATTGCTAGTATTGTCATGAATCAAGAAAATGTATGCCATTATAACAATTCCAATGGCTGCTAATTTTACAGCAACATATTTGATATTTTGGAATTAACCCTGTATCTTTATTTCAATTATTTCCTTCATATTTCTTGTGATTTTTTTTTTTTTTAATAGAAAAGCTTCTTCTGGTCAACGTATTTTGCACTAAAACCAAGCTTATAAAAGCCCTGAAAAAAGCTACATACAGATTTGTCTTTGACTTGTTCAACAGGCATTTGATAAGAAACCCCTCAACTGTTTTATCAAGTTCCAGTTCTATCAGATATTAAGAGTCAAAGGTCCTTTTTCGAACTTTCTGATTCTAGGGCATTCTGCTACAACTTGCTAAACCTTTATATTCGGGAACACTCATAAGGAAAACTAGGGAAATGGTTTATAAACATATGGTGACTTATGAGCAGAAAGGAACTTTAATACTACCAAAATGTTGATTAAAACAATACACTTTTTGAAAAAACTACAAAAACTCACGAAAGCAGTATATACAGTCTCTATGAGCCTAGAATAAACACAGTTGTAAACGTATACACAGAGATTTCTTTCTTTTTTATATCTTTGTCAGATACTTCAGTTATACCAGATTGTTTTTAATAGAATCTCCTTAACTACTCTTTTTAATCTACAATCTTTAGACGCAAAAAACTCATCAGATTTCTTTTAACTACTAGCATATAAAAATCATATAATATCATGTATTTTACAGACATAAAACCTACTAGGGAAATCACCTTAACACAAAGCTGTGCTCCAAAGATATTTTAAACTTATGAGTTGTTTACTACACTGCAAGGGTTACAGTGACTTAAAACTCACTACTTCAACTTCCTAAGTATCTTTTCATCTTACAGAGCAACAAGGACATGGATTCACTTACCTCATTCAGAGGGCTACAACAGAGACTCATATCAAAGCTCTTCCTGCTGTTCTGAATCATCTTCCTAGACTAAGTCTTTCTCATGTTCCTATTTCACCACCCACCCACACCAGAGCTGACCTTCGAAAAGTAGGATAACAGGTGATTTGGCTGATAACAGACTTCAAAGATCTTTCACAGGTCAGGTTTTTCACTAGAAAAAAATCTTAAACCAATCTTCATATTTGCACTAAGAAGGGAAAAAAACCTCAAGCCAAGTGCCAAGAAACGTAACTTCAGAAAAGACAACCTTTTGTTCGTCACAATCAAGGTTTCATAAACCCAGCAACTACAGAAGCCTGCAAATGCTGCCTTATTCTCATTCCAGTTTACATTGCCCTTATTAGTACTTTAATTAGAGGATACAGCACACAAGTTCTCATATTAGTCACGTATAGAATTAACTTGTACCTACATAGTAGGTACAAGCTGTTCATCCACTCCATGATGAATGCAATACTTATTCAATGAGTATTTCACCTCACATTTACTGCATGGTAAGAAAACACTCTCTCATAGTCTCTCCCCATTTTTTAAGTTAGCAACATCTATAAAAAGACATACCACTCTAATTTACAGCGTCATTGTATAAGAATCTGTGAGCCAACTACCAATAATTCCACTTAGCAACTCACCCGATCCTGTGATTTACCTGTATTTAAGCTTTCCATTCTTACAGGGAGACCAGATTGGGCCACAGCAACAAGTTTCAAAGCTATGTAAAACTGACTTCTTCCAAAATAGCCAAGTCTTGTTGCACCACAGAGCTCCGTAATCTGAAACGAAACAGAGTTACTGGTAGAAAGAAACTTTAAACACAGTTGCTTTACAGAGGTGATTTCATACATTTCAGAGTAGCATGCCATGGATCCAAATATATTGACTGCACCCCTCTTCACACTGAAGATCTGCAATCTTAGTCAAGGTGCATCCCTGCTTGTGCAGGTCACTAATAAAATACTAAGAAGGACACATCCCAAATCAGACTCTCAGAGTTAAATGATCCAGACTACCTTTTTATCTACTTCGTAGTCTTATCTAGACTGCAATGTTCCAAATGAGACACGAGGATGCTCGTGGAACACCACAGTGGAACACTAGTTGAAGTCAGTACAGGTGGTATCACTGCTTCTCTCTCCTCAACCAGTTGTAGTCTTTCTGTTGCACCAGATAATCTGGTTGACAAGTACCCTTGGTAATCTTACTGTTTTCACCTTCATATGCCTAGAAATGGCTTCCAAGCAGACTGGTTCCACAATTCCTTAGCGACCAAACTGCAGCTGACCAGCCTGGTCCATGAGACTCTGCCTGTGAATACCAATCAGAGAAGGTACAGAGGATCTAAATCCACGGGTATAAATTTCTGTCCTCATGCTTCCCACCAGAGCTCAATCATCTCTTTTTTGCAAACCTGGTCTCGTCTTATCTGCTCATTTCCTGACTACTGGGAGTTAGGCAAGTTCCAAATGAAAAAGTGAACTACATTTTCACACAGCAACAACTGAACGACATGGTCCACAAGCAGCCTTTGTGCTTCAGCACCACTTCAGTAACTCCATACCATGAATCAGATGGGTTTATCAACTAAAGCTGAACTAGATGTGGCTCAACAAAAAGCTGGTTAGTTACCGCCTTGCCACGTACCAGGATTCTAGGACCTCATGAAAATAAGCTGCCATAAAACCTGTCACAGCAAGGTGTGGGATGTTGACAAACACTTAGTTCCAAAGAAGTCCCAAGAGGATAAGCATGTCTAGGGCTGTACATGCAGCTCAAATCCTACTGGATGGAAACAAGCTGCATTAAACACTTGGCTGTGTCTGCGTTACCTTCACACACTGTCCTACAGCTCCTGCATATTTGCATTTTCCCACTGTAGTATTTCTGCAGTATGATGTCTGGTGAGACATCAGGGGATAACAAGATATTTTCTAAAATCCAATAAATGAAAGAAAATAATTGAATATAGTTGAATGCAATACAGTAGTCTCAACAGGTTGGCTGGACTACAAAAAGTGCCACCAGGAAAGAAGTGACAGTGTACATTGACAGATGACAAATCAAATAAAACTTCTGAGGCATCAACATCTAAAATACATTGCCTGTACTCAACCTAATGCCAAAAATAATTAAGTTTAAGTAACCAGCAGAGCTAAGGCAGTGGAAACTCAAGAGACAGCTGGCAATCGAAACCAGTGCAACAGGAAAAGCAACTCATTTTTTTTAAAGCACTGTATGCTGGAAGAATGATGGAGCATCCACAAACTTGACTACAACCAAAGCAGAAAAGGCCTGTGGATTTGGTGACCTAGCATCAACAAACGAATTAACCAGACTCTAATGTCTTATGAAAAGAAGCAATGATGCAGGCATTTTGAGCCTATGGAATCATTAGGCAGTAATTGTTTTGTTCAATTTCAAAGCCACTACTGAACTACAAATTACCTTGTTTGCAGCTAGTGAGTGCCAACAGATTGAAAAAAAAAACTTCAGCTAAAACCCAAATTAATAATTAAGTTACCATGACAGACAAGTATTAGAAAGGAAAAGCAAGCATCAGTTCAAAGTAAATAGATATAAATGTAGAAAATACACCAGACATAAGTATCAAGAAAAGGAAAAAGTTAAGGATTAAAAACAAAAACCCACCACAAAACAAACAAACAAAAACCCAAACAACCCCCACACCACCACCACCAAGGAACCAAAAAAGAAAGAATATTCTGCTGCTGCTGAACAAGTAGGTTGTCAAATCCACCCATCGATAGCTATACTTCAAATACAGGATATATCCCAACCAGAAACATGACTGAAGGTTGAGTAAAATCATTAAATGCAAACATCTTGTGGAGATTCCTCTGCTAACTGTATGCTTGAACATACCCAAACAGCGTACCTATAATCTTCTTGAAGGAGGATTTAAACATTCAACAGGTAATAAGTTATTCTGAAGGGGAGAATAATAATAAAAAATAATCAAGGGATTGCTTCTCTGAGATTTAGGTTTAGGGTTTTCATCTTCTTAGGAAAAGAGGATAAGCAACTCTCTTTAACTCCTCAGTGACTGTAGAGCCATCTTCAAGACAAAATGCTTCACTACTGTTTTAATCTCCTTAGATATGAAGATCCTGAGGTCACACAACTTCAATTAACAAGGCCAACAACTCTGAAACTCCAGAACTGTTGGAAGACATTGATACAAAAAACCCAAAACAAACAAAAAACAACAAAACACAAACAAAAAGCAAACCAGCCAAACAAAAAAACCCCAACCCCCCCCATAAAACAAGAAAAAAACCCGAAACCCAACCACTAAACACTAAACTCACAAAACTAAAAACACACCAAAAAAAAACCCCGTCAGTGCAGTAGCTGGAAATTATGAAATTGCACTCTCAATCATCATACTGCAAAGAAGTAACAGCAGCATCAGCAATATGACGACTTGGTGCAAATCAGACGTTTATAAGAAGCAGTACATAACTCTCAAAGGCACCGTTTCAAGTATGTACCTTCTAAAACTCTAACAGGTTTCCAATAAGAGACCCTTGAACTTGGAAAGGTTTGTGAACTGAAAAAACTTGAAAACCTTTACAAATTTCAGGTGAAGTGGAACAAATCACATCTCTATCAAATGTGGTGAAACGCACTTTGCAGAAATCAGAAAACCTCTCTGGGAAAGTCTTCCAGAATATCACAGTCTCCCTGCCCTAAGGTTCTTCTACAAGGCAAATCAAGCCCATTAACTGCAACAAAATACAACAGTATTTAAACTGAGATGACCTCAATGGTAAAACAATAAATGAAGCAACATGCATGCCACCTACACAGTAAAGATAAAAGTATTTCTTCTGCTTGGAGAGAGTTACTGAAGTACCTACTGTTCCACACCAGAGGATGGTTAAGAGGCAAGACCTGGAGACAACTTCTGTGGGTGGGAAATTACAACACACTTGGTAGGTATGTGCTGACGACAGGGGGTAGTGAACAAACTCAGAAGAGGACCTTCTATATCATCTCACCTGAACAGGACGTTAACGATTTTCATGTTTGTATTGTTTGGTGTAAGACTTTTTTTTTTTTTTTAAAGCTAATAAACATGAAGAATTCCTGCACAGAATCACAGCATAGTTCAGCTTGGAAAGGCCCTCTGGAGATCATTTGCTCTACTCTCCCTCCTCATAGGAGGCTCAGCTACAGCAGGTTGTTTTGTACTATACTGAGTGAGGATTTTAAGTATATCCAAATAGGGAGACTCTACAACCTCTCCAGGCAACCTCTTCCAGTGTTTGATCATCTTTACAGTAAGAAAGCTTTCTATTATGCTTAAATGAAACAATCACTATGAACAATATCATGTAAACTGTGCACCAGAAACACAAAACAAGTTTCCACATTAATTTCACTGTACTTGAGTTAAACCAGATATATGAATATACCTGTCCTTCAATATTTACAATATTATTTTGAGTTTTACTGTACATATTAACAAAAACCTTTAAATTAAAAACAAGCAATACATTTAAAAAAGCTAATTTTTACTTCAGATAAAGAAAAAATGAAATAGAATAACTTGCTTCAGTTTTGTTAGTTAATATAAATGTAACTGATCATGGGTTGATCTTAATTCACAATTCAAAACTAAAAAAATTATCGTATCAACGTTATTTCTGTATGTCATATGCAGCAATTCATTGATGAGAATTTTAAAGCTCTTGGCAAACTTAACCATTAAACTGGTATGACAGGGTGCTTTCCAATTTAAAAGTTTACTGGAATACAATCTCAAATTGGGTACTAGAATGCAGTGTAATGTAATTCAGGGATGTATAACAAGTTGAAAAAATGCTTCCTAATCACTGCTGACCACCACTACACAGCAAAGTACTATGAAAAACTCCTTCACTCATTTTTTCGTAGATTGAATACATTTCTTTCCTCAAAATTCATTACCTTCTAATCTTGTTATTCTGCAACCACTGTTAGATCCATTCCTGTCACTTCATTTATATCAACCCGCCTCACTAATTGCAGACCACAGCGTGACAGTTTTTTAACCACAGTCTCTCACTTATTGTCAACTGGACAAAGCAATATTGATTAGTTTGCTAATGTTAGTTAGAATTTTTAACTTCTCTTCAAAAAAACCTCACTTGACAGCTTCTCAGATGCAACAGTTGTTGACAGCACTGCGCAGCAGGAACACGACAGAGAACTGACAAAGATCCTTCTTTTGATGAGTTATTTTTAAACCAAGTCAAGTCTCTGACCCAGTTCTCTGCATCGCTCCACAAACCTTGGCACATGGCAGGAGCACAGGAAAAAACCCCACAACTGTAGACAGAACAAAAACATGCCACTAAAAGAAACAGTCCAAGTATTACTCTGAATTCTACGTTTCAGCACATGACAAACATTTAAATAGTCTTACACCTATCCAAAGATCATTTGCAAAATGCATCTGTGAAGGATAACTAATAATGCTATATTTGATATTCAGTAAGTGTGAAGCAGGAAATATTCACGTGTTGAACAGCAAGTATAAAATTACCTCTAATATATACATTTATCTTATTAGGTACTTTCAAAGCATCGCAGTAAATAGAGTTAATTAGTTCAAACTGAGAATTCCAAGGCACAGAGTATATTTAGGACATTGATGTACTTTGTTGCATAACAAATAGTAAGGTCTTCCTTTTAAGTCTTACTGATTGTTCTATGAAGACGGATCTCAGTCAATGCCACAAACCTGGCTTCAGAACACAGTCCTTGAAAG